CAAATCTAATTTGTAGGCTTTTCATGCAGAGCCTGCCTTGCAAATACAGAAGTCACAGCATGAAAGTCCTCCCAAACAAGCATTCAATCAAAGCTAAGACTCTCGCAAACGGACCTTAGCTCTCCCAAATGGGCGAGAACAAACTTTGGCTTTTTGAGAACTTCCTCCATATGATATGTTACCCTATTCAGTCGCTTATTTGTACTTTTAGCTAAAAGAAAAGAATACTGGTTGAAAATATTCATTTACCCCACCCACACCCGAGTTCACTTTTGCTATGTCATTGAGTGAAAATGGAGACTTTTGGCTAGACCTGTTCATGGGCTGGCTCAGCTTAGCCTGTTCTAAGTTGGGTTTGGACAAGATATCAGGCCTGCGGGCTCAGGTTTGGGCTTAAAATATTGGGCCTGACCTTCTTTTTGGGCTGGGTTTGAGCTTTCTCAAAAAAGCCCAACCCGAGCCCTACTTGATAACGTATTTATATAATAAGAAATATTTTTTTATAATAATAATAATAATATATATATATAATGTTTTTCTTTATTATTCTTATCTTTTTCAACTAATAGTGAGATCATTATTTTTTAGGTTTTGTGGACTTTTAATATAAATAAAACAGTTTTTTATTGAACAAAAAAATAAAAAATAAATCTTTTTTTCCAATTTTCTGATCGGCTCGGGCTTAGGCATGGGTATATTTTGTTAATACAGAGACAAAGTCCGACTCAAACCGGCCCAGCCCAGACCAGCCCATGAACAGGTCTATTCATGGCCTTCAATGTATTGCTATGGGCAGCAAACCAAGAAGTCATTTCATCTAATTTAAGGGCAAGCGATAGCAATGCATCAAGTGCTTGGATCTCCTACCTACAAACTCTTTCTAAATCCTTACCCACAAGACACTACGGTGTGTAAAGAGAACATCTTCCATTCCAATTTTGGGTTGGTAGGGATGTGGAAAGAGTTTGGATCTCCTGCCCACGTTTATTACAGCCACACATAGAGAATATCTCATCCTTTGCATAGTATTATACAGGGGGAGATRTTCCCAATTCACGGGGGGTGGTGTATTGTGGGTAGGCGTGGGCAGGAGATCCGCCTCCATGTGGAAAGGGTTTGTGAATTGTGATGTGCAGTGATGTTGACCAATTCATGGGTTGCCCGTTGGGCCCAACTATTCACTATTTTGGATTTGGGCTTCAGGTAGGGGTCCATTCAAATTTTTGCCCAAGCCAAACCTGAGCTCGGCCCATGAAATACAGGTCTAGAGTGATATAACTAGGGATGGCAAATATTCCTATTTCCCTATACCCAGGGGGATCTGCTTGAGGATTGGGGGTAGAGACGGGAAAAGTTCCATCCCCGTTGTCAGGGACAGAGAGCACTCCCCAGTCCCCACCCTGCAGGGTCCCCAACTTGTTGGCAGGGATGGGGAGAGAACTTATCCCCACCATGTGGGGACCCCCAGCCTACTATGTGTATAATTTTAAATTGTAAATATTCATCCTTGTTGGCAGGGATGGGGAGAGCACTCCCCACCTTGTGGGGATCCCCGGCCTGCTATGTGTATAATTTCAAATTATAGATATTCATCTTGTTGGCAGGGATGAGGAGTATTTCCCACCCTATAGGGTCCCCAGCCCGTTATGTGTATAATTTCAAATTGTAGATATTTAGATTTTCAATAAGTGGGTTTAAAGTCTTAAGGTCTTCAAAACTTGGATTTATGTTGAATAGTTATGTTTTTATTATGAATTAATGGATTTGTATTTATATTTTTAAAAATATGATTGCATATATGCGAATGTATTTGAATATATTGATATCTATTTTAATAAGATTATAAATTATAACTATTTTATTTTTAAATTTATTTAAAATGAATTTGAAATAAAAATGAAATGAATTTTGACATGATAAAGAAATAGTCTCCTAAGAGACAGGGATGGTAAAGAGACAGGAATAGGTTTTTTTTGGGAGGGGGGAGATTGAATTTTGACATCTTTTGATTTATTTAGGGCTGTTAATGGGTCGGATCAGACCTGATGGAACCTGACCAATTAGGGCAGTTCTGGTTTCAGAACTTGTCCCAATGGATCGGTTCTGGTTCTTAAAAAAATCCCCGATTATTATTGGGTCGGAGCCAAGTCCATCTTGTCCCAAACCAATTTGGACCCCGCCCAACCCATGTATATATATATATATATATATATATATATATATCTTTTTAGCAGACTTTTTTATTATATTTTTTAACAGTGGTATTATTAGCATATCAAAATGGGGTCCATCGGATTGGACCCAATTATCTCAAGAACCGATCGATTCAATTCTGAGTCTGCGAGTTACAGACCCGAGTCGATTCCGGGTCCACGAATTCTCCTATAGCCCTAGAGGTTCCGGGACCGGTTCTATCAGGTTCCGGCCCAGAACCGACCTGTTGACAGCCCTAGATTTATTGGTTGTTTTATCCCTGTGCTACAAAATCATCGTAGTGAAAGCTGTTTGACCCACACCCATGATAATTTGTCATGCACAGGAACCTAAAAACAACATAGGCTGTTAGCTATTTTTTCCTCCAAACAGCAAAAGTTTTTCGATCCCACAGAATACAGATGAACATGTCCAAAACCGTAAAAGAATTACCACCCAGAAGTTACAGAATCCTGACCTACAAATATCCCAATCCAATGGTGTTCGCTGATCAAGCGAGGCATCTAGCTGCATACGGTTGCCGGTTGCGGTGGCTCTTTTCATCACCTGAAGGATCAACATCACGGTCATTGTAGTTGTTGAACACCCACTTTATTTTCCATTTAAAATTGCCCTAACAATTTGATTGATGGAATTCTCCTACCTATTTTACTATTCAGCTCAAAGCAATGAACATGATAAACGATATTTGCAGTCTATCAGCTCAGACTTTCTACGCCTGAGCGTGTCAATTACTTGCTTCGATTGTTTATATTCATTTGAGTTAGGAGCAGGACACAGTCACACCCACCCCAATACAAAAGAATTTCGTCGGATGGGTGCCACCGCCATACAAGTTGTCGCCCTCTTCTTCTGTCTCTTCTTTTCCTCAGCTACAGCAGCAGCAAGAGCCAATGAATTATGCTCAAGTTCGATGTGCGGCGACAATGGGTTAACCGTTCGGTTCCCCTTCAGAATAAAAGCTATGCAGCGGCAGCAGCACTGTGGTTATCCGGGGTTCGATCTTAGTTGCAGTAGTAATCTAGGCAAGACGATTCTGAAGCTGCCATTCTCGGGAGGATTCTGGGTAAAGAAAATCGATTATGTTAGACAGGAGATACGAATCGGGGATCCTGGGAATTGCCTCCCCAGAAGGCTATTACATCTGAACCTTTCGGGGTCTCCTTTCAAGGGTGAATTCTACCAGACCTACCAGTTCTTCAACTGCTCGTCAGACTTTCCAGGATTCCAGTTCGATTATATTCCTTGTCTCAGTAGCTCCACCCACATGGTGTTCGCTACCTCTTACATTCCATTCGCTGGATATGTGCCCGCCACATGCGACTTGATTTCAACCGTTTCGATTCCAGTTGTATGGCAAGAAGATTATGAAAGCAACTTCGGGCGGTTTCCATTGTTTGAATTAAGCAACGAGCTCCAGCTAACATGGGACTCGCCCAACTGCGGAGATTGCGAAGCGAGAGATGGCAAGTGCGGATTCATGACAAATTCCACCCTTGAAACTGGATGTTTCGATGTTCCTCGACGCGGTAAGTTTCTTTCTTTCTTTCTTAATTCATCCCTTTTGTTTTCCCAATTCCCAGTAATCTGCTTAAAGTGGATAGGTGAAACTCAGGATGGATTTTCTTCTGAAAATCGACACAGTAGTGCTGACGGACCAGTCCCACTCTTCTTCTAATTAAAAAGATACAAGATAATTCGTGGTGATCATTGATTGGTTTATACCCATATTCATTACCACGGAGCAGATATGTGAATGATAAAACTAAAAGAGAAAAAAAGATGAAAGAAAGGAAATAAAAAAATCAGAATAGAGATGCTTGGAATACAAGACTGGGAAATTGGTCGGTTGTCTGCGTGCTTTCATGTCAACGTCCTCGGTCCACCCATTCAAGGAATACGTCATATCTAATATTCAATTGGTTAGGTTAAAATCATTGTTGGTTTAAATAGAAGAGAGCTAGCAATGTTTGGATTGCTGTTTTTGAGGGTCCGTTTGATTTCGTAGCGGGAATTGGAATTGGAATTAGAATTCAAATACTTGGAATGAAATCAGAATGGTCTATTCTTATAGTTTGTTTGGTCCAGATAAAAATGAGAATGAGAATTAGAATCAGCAGAAATAGGATTTTATTTTCAAGAGAGAGGACAGGGAATAGCCATTCCCTCAAATGGGGGAATGCCATTCTAGTATGAGAATGGAATTTCAATTCCATTCAACCAAAAGATTGTAATCAGAATAGCCTATTCCTATTTTGGATTCCATACCCCTATTCCCGCAAATTAAGCGGGGCCTGAATCTTTTGATCAAATTAGATTCATGAAATCATTTTGATAATACCCAGTTGAACCGGCCAGGTCAATAACGGGTTAAGTAMCTTCCCAATTGAAAAGAAATTAGAAAAGGGATTTTAGGTTGATGGAGAGAGAGAAAGAGAGAGAGAGACACACACACACCACACCGAAATTGTGGTTATCCCTCATCGTGAATACAGTCCTTGGATCGGTTTAATTCTCCCATCAAAATAATGATAAGGACACCACAATGGTAAACACATCCATATGCAAGTGGTCAGGTTGGATTGTAAACCAATCATTCCAAACCTAAATAGGGTCGTCCAGAGATCTCATTATAACATTTTATCTTTTTTCTTTTATTCATTCATCATTTACACAACAGGGTTAGTCTATTTTCAACCCATGACCCCCTCCCAACCCTGGTTCAGACGGAATTCAATCCGAAGTGTCTGCTATAGTCAATAGTCAATAGGAGACTTTACCAACCAATTAATTGGTATCTTGCTTTTTTCTTTTTATCTTAATGTCTTTTAAATTTATTATTTGGTTAATGGTTAGTAAGCTTCGATATGATCCAAAAAAATAAAGAAAAAAGAGTTAGCTTGGATTTGGTGATTATTTTAATATCAACAGCAAATTAAAACAATCTGTTAGGCAGAAAATATTGTTAGGTGGAGCTAAGATGTCTTAATATGTACAGAACTTTGACCAATAGGATATATATAGAGAGAGAGAGATAGATAGTTGCTACAAGTTGAGTGCGAACAGATGAACTGTCAATTTAAGCAAGTCAACCACCAATTTGGTTTGGCAACTTTTCTAGTGGGTAGAAATGCACATCCCTCATCGTCCTTCCAATCTCCCAACTGTGAGAAGGACTTTACTTGGGCTTCCATTCGACTTAACATCTACTGTGAGCCTGTGACCATCCAAAGTATTCTTTTGCTGCCTTTAGAAGTGTAAATCGGGCCATGTCACTCATGGCTTGGTATAGTCCGAAATGAATTTAGACAGATCCGGCATGAGGGTCTGTGGGTCATGTTAGGCCTGGGGTTTTAGGTTCATGGGCCGGTACGGTCCAATCCGACCAAGCGGGCTGTGCTGCTTACAGTCCRTGACACGGCCCATATATATTATATATATTTTATAAATATTTATATAATACTATATAAATTACAATTATATAATAATATATTAATGAAATAAATAATTTTTTTTAATTTTATTATGCTAATTTATTTAATTATTATTATTATATATAAAAGCAATTGTATGCACAAAATTTATATAAAATTAAAACTTTAAGTTTTTTATCAAATTTTTTAAATAAATAACTTTGACCTAATGCACGGCCCGACTTGGCCCAAGACTCGACCCACAGGCCAACCCGACTCACAACATAGCACAAGTCTGCACAAACCTAACCCGTGGGCTATATCGGGCCGACCCCCAAATTTTTCACTGGCGAGGACGGGACTTTCACAGCCCACTTTACACCTCTAGCCGCCCTAAATGAAATGCAGCCTAAGGACTATTATGATATTATCTTTAAGTCCCATAAATGTTTCTAAATTCTCTTAAACTTAACACTAATTTTGAAATAAGCCTTAAAAAAAAAACTCTGATTTTAAATCCCCGACACGCTTATTTATATTTTATATCAGGTCAATATCAATGACCATAACATATGCTTAACTTTTAATGACAAAATTAACCTTGACCAATTAGTCTACCCTATCAACGAGATTGCATTTCCTGTGACCATGATTGCAGAGACCCCTCAATAAAATGCAAATGCACATGTGTTCGAAAGAAAAAATAAAATATCACATCAACTAGTGTTTGATTTGAAACATGGCGTGTTCTTATTTCATTGAGGGGTCACATGCAATCACAACTGCAGAAAATCTTCTCCTTATAAACCAATTTTTCCCATATGACAAAAGTACCCTCGGTTTACTTCTCTTCCCCATTATTGTCTATTTCATATTTTAATTCATTCCACAATCCATCAAAACTCCATTTTGAGTGAATGGATGGATCTATATTGTGGAATTTTGGTTCAAGAAAATGGAATTAAATAATGCGAAATCATTATAATCTTGCAAATACTGTTAGTTTTTTACTTCCAGCAAATGACCAAATGCCTGAGAGCGAAATTTTAGAGAAAGTCAGAAACATGGAGGGTGGTGCTTCAGATGATAACCCAAAATAAAAGGCAATGAATGAATATGTGATTTCCCGGCTGATTAATGGACATATGAAGCTTCTCAGGAATCAGGACAAGGACAACTATAGGTTAATATTACTTCGGTACTTTTATTTGCTGAGTCCGGATCTCCTGCCCCACAGCATATAATTTGGACACATGTAGGTAGGGTGTTGTCCACAGAATATTAAAAATCGATCAAACTGGCATCGGTTTTGGGCCTTATAAATATAAAACCCGAGTGTTCAATTTGGTTTCGGTTTATAAGCTTGTAAATTGAAAATGAACCAACCTGAACCGATGGTTACAATCTTCTAAATTCTAACTAGTGTAATAAATTGGACACAGTTGCCAATGTTTTGCTTTTTCTATCTATTCAGAATTTCAGATGTGGGCAGAGATTCGGACTCCTTCAATTATGGACAAAATTAGACTTATTCATGGATTGGGCCGCGCTATAGCTTAATAAGAATGGGCCCAACCCGGAGCAGTATAAAAAGATCCTGGGCCTAGAATATTTGAACAAGAACCTAATTAACTTTTGGGGTGTTTAGGTATTACAAGGAACGTCCGGTACGCCATAACAATAGGAGTGGGCATACCGGCGTTCATGTGCGCAATTGGGGTCGGATGCTACATCTGCAGCAAGTTGAGGTCATACAGTGGGAGGCGAAACATGGACAGCGAATTGACTACATCAGTTGTCACACCACAGGCGCTGACCTCCACCACTGTAGTGAATGTGAAGGGGCTTGACGGAGCCACCATAGAGTCCTACCCAAAGCTGGTCCTGGGCGAGAGCAGGCGGCTGCCGACGCCCGACGATAACACATGCGCGATATGTCTGTCGGAGTACCGGCCGAAGGAGACGCTGCGTAGCATACCTGAGTGTAAGCACTGCTTTCATGCTGATTGCGTCGATGAGTGGCTGAGGATCAACGCCGCTTGTCCCCTTTGTCGAAATACGCCAGGCCCATTACCACCTCCTGATGATGCTACGGGATCCCACATTTAATTTCACTATTATTTAATTTATTACCTTCAAACTTCCATCTCCATTATTTGTTATGTTTATGTGCTTGTGTATAGCCTCTTCTCTTGCTGTGATTTTTAAGGCCTCTCTTTCAATTTTGTATTTTGTATTTTACATTACAGGTTTTCTTGTCTTTCAATTTTACAGAAATAATGCTAGCCTTTGTGGTATAAGGTATTTGTAATCCTCTATGTTTAGAGAGAGGAACAAGAATATCGAGATATTTGATTGTGTCCAGATTACTTTTGGCACACTAGCCATATGTTGTACATCAAGACCAAAGGAGGTTGACATAGACCCTCATAATTGTAGAAACTTGATGGCTGTGGAACTAATGATAAGGTTATTAATCATTAATAAATTCATGAGCCCCGTTGTAAAAGTGCAGAGTCCATGTATTTAAATAATGGCATGAAATCTTACCATTTGGTGAGTTTTTATTTCTTCTGCACTCCAAATGTAAAATTCTGAAAATTATCAAATATCTATTTTGACTCCATATATGAGAGTTTTTATTTATATTTTGGAGGATATCATTAAAAAACAAAATGTTGTATGATTGTACTTTAAGAAATAAGAGATAAGAGAAAACGAACAACTATTTTTCTTTTAAAGTTTAAAAACTTCATTTTAAAAGATAAGAATTAAGAAAAAATGAACAGGACCTAAATCTTACTCGTTTAATTTGGCATAGAGTCAAACCAGGCCTCAAATACTCACCTCGACCTAAAATTTTCAGCCTAAACCTAACTGGCATAAGCCCATACATCATAGATATGTACATTTTAGACCTGGTTAAGCCTAGAAAGAATGCTCTATTTCTTTATGGCGAGATTGCATTACTCATCTATCTTTTTAGGGGAAAAAGTGGTTTAAAGGTCAGGGAGACGCACCCCAAAAGTTTGTGGTGCATTAGAGGATTGGCATGATCACATGACCCACGGTAATGTGGGGCCAATACTGAGACATTCTTTAGATAATTTAATAAAAATATGTGCTGAAATGATCTCTTGAATACTTATTATTCTTCTAAGTCCTAAACACTCGTTATAATCATGACATCTCATTTTATTTTATTTTCTAAAATATTATTTAGCTTTATTTTAGGGTAGAAAGAGCTGAAACAGAAAAACTTTGGCTGTTGGGGACTCTTTTGACCCAAAAGTTAAACATGACATGAATGAACTAATGTGTCGAGTTCAAGAACATTCTCAACAGCCTAGGCTGTTGCCCCCAACAGCTAAAGTTTTCTGACAGACTATTAGGTAGACCGTGTCTCAAGAAACCATTTTTTTCCTCTTCTCATTTTATAGAGGTCTCTTTTCATAACCTACTTTATAAATCATCAGTGTTTTTAATACGTCAATCGTTCAAATCATTACGGGTTAAGATTTCAGGTTCGATTCAATCAAGACTCATTATACAGTCAAAAACTATTGATTTAAAGAACCGTTTAATCCGGATGGTTCAATCATTGATCCATTCGACTTGGTCACTAGGTCACGAGTTGTACATTTAATGTATGAAAACTTTCGAAGACTATAATTTCACTATTTTTGCAAAAAAAAAAAACTCTTTTTTTGCCTCAAATTGCATATTTTAATATTTTTATAAATAAAAAGATAAAAACTAAATTAAATATAAAAATACATATAACATATCTTACATTATTTATTGATAAAATATATTTATATGATAATGTAGCAYGATCTGAACCGTTCAACCCAATCGGTTGAACCGGTGACGTAGAGACAAGAACGATTCGACCACCTTATCGATTTTTAAAACATTATACAAATCGTATTCACATCGTGGCAATCTTTCCATGTGCCACGTGGTGTGGTAGAAAAAGTACATGACAGAATGAGATTAATGTCACCATTGAAATATCTATGGGTGATCATTGAGTTGTTCGAGAACTAATGTACATGGTTCTGGGCGGTTCAACTGTCACTAGTTCCATCCCCGATTTTCAAACAGTACCGTTTGAATAATTATAAACTTTGGGAAGGTGTGGGTCAGCACCTCTAAGGGGGCGGGAAAATAATAGTTGTATCACGGCATTCAATTCTACCGGATTTTCACAAAATATAATGAAATTTGATTTTATTTTGGGCTAAAATATTTAATTAGATGATTTTTTTTTAATTTGCCTAAAACTTTGCTATGTATTTTAAATAATTATTTTGAGAAAATATATTTCCAGTACATTAAATTTCCTATTAGCCTAGTCAATGTGAAAAAATGTACCACCTGATTGGTTATGATACCAACTGGGGGTTGGTAGGTGGTGGCCTAGTTGGTAGGATTGCTGCTTGAGACCAATGTATTTAAAACCGAATTGGACCAGATGGTTGGATGGGAAAAATGGGAATCGATTGTCTAATTAGTTATGTTTTATCCTAAAATTACTATTTGGCCAAAACTTATTGATTTGACCGTTGATTCAGGTGGTCAAACCATTAAATCATTCAACCTAAGAACAGTCTTTGATCGTTTTTGAGTTTGTTTATTTTTGTTAAGTGGACTGTCCGTTCGAACTGGATAATCGGACGTTTGATCCAGAACGATTCCCTATCTGGTTCAATTTAGACCTCAAATCAAATCTTATTGCCCTCAAAGGGTTAGGGGATTAAAGGGGATGAGAATGTTTTACCCCATTATAAAAGTATGATATTGAAGGAATTTTGATTAATCAAAATTTCATAAATTTTAATGAATACCATCTTATTTTATTGATTACCACTTTTAAAAAGTGATACCGGTTGATTGGTTATAATTTTTTTGTTCAAGTCTTACGATTGAATAGGTGGGATTTATGGTCCAGTCGGTCTTGACCCAACCCATTGCACTGCAACATGAAAATACTTTGTACATATTGACTTGGTTGGCTGAATTGGTGTTCTACATATAGGAGGGTTGGGTCGAGTTTTGATATAGTTGACCTCATATATATTATGCCTGTTATATATCCATTTGACTTGTTTCAATATTATTCACAAAACGAGCCCTTATGTTGCTTAAGATAACATTAAGCTATCAATTAGTTCACCTCTCCCTAAAGTTTGCAAGCAAAAATAAGTAAATATATAAAAAGATAAATGTTAATAGGGTATTATACCATTTGGGAAGAGGGAGAATAATTTCTTTTTACTTTTTTTTCTTTATGATATCCAATTTTTATATTCCTCTCTTCTCTTTTATCTCATTTCTATTTTTTCTTTATGATATCCAATTTCCTTTTAACTTTTCTTTCTCCCCTTTTAGATTCTCTCTTCTTTTGGTTATATAACTTATTCCTCTTTTATCTCTTTTCTCTCTCTAAAATGAATTTCAACTTTTATATTTGAGTTGAACCAATTAGCCAGGTAAAGACATTCGACATTATAAGAAAAATCCAAAGCTTTTGATCTTATTTTTTCTAAATAAAAATTGGTTTACATAATTTTAAATACTCAAATGCAATGGGTGGATTAGAATGGTTTGCAACCCATAACCCATTAACATACAATTAGTATTGGTGAAAAATGGGTGTGGATTTTGATATTCAAGTACTCAACCCACCCCATGCACACAACTTATAAATAGTAGTTTTATGAACAACACTGTGGTTGTTAATGGACTCTGAAAATCTGTTACCAATTGGACATTTGACCCGATCATTCCAGATTTGAATGTTAGAACTTGAATATAATTAATAATCAAATTGAATGTACTTAAATTTAACCTAATCTGATCTTATTTAAATCCAAATTTAATTAAAGTTTTATCATTTTATGTATATATAGTGCAATTTATGCACACATAAGTTAAAAGTTATTACATTTTTATTTTTTATTCAAGAACAATTAAGACCAATATGAATTAAATCCGAATCTTGGGTACAACCCAAGTATGAAATATTAGGCTTCGGATCGGATTTAGATCCAAGGATTTGAAAATCAAATTTCGGATCCGATCCGATTACAGCCATGGACGGCACTTATCACCAACTCACCTTACCTATAACCCTAGACCTTTTGTAACAACGCATGTATAATTATTTGGTATTACAAGCAAACGTATAATTTAATTTAACCTAATGAAGCCTCGCACCTACTGGTAGCCAGTCTTCTGTATTATTTATAAAGCTATAGGCGGAAAATAATCAATTCTTTTTCTTTTCGAGCAGATGGTTATCTTAGAGCTCATTCCCTTCTTCTTCTTCCTCCTCCTCTTCTCTGCCGTCGACGGCGAATGCCCAAGTTCCGTGTGCAACAAACATGAGCCGATTATTCGATTTCCTTTCAGATTGACAGGTGCCCAGGCCAAGAACTGTGGGTATCCAGGGCTCGATCTTAGTTGCGACATGGGTAGGACAATTCTCAAGCTGCCGTCTTCATCAAGACAGTTTTTCGTGAGGAACATCAACTATTTCATGCAGCAGATTCAAATATACGACCCGTCGGATTGCCTGCCGGAACGGCTGATGAACCTCAGTCTTTCCGGTTCCCCTTTCGTGGGTATCCACTATCAAAACTATACTTTCATGAATTGCCCGTCGGAGTTCACTACATCTCGGTTCACACCCATCCCTTGCCTGAGTAACTCTACGCGCAGCGTTTTGGCCATCACGCCTAACAGCCTTGCTAGCATGATGAACAGTACGCCATGCGAGACTATCACGACCGTCTCGGTTCCGGTTTCCGGAGGGTATCAGTATGAATCTGGGTTTTCATCTAGCCTCGACGGTGACCTTCTTCTGACGTGGGTTAAACCTAACTGTGGAGATTGTGAAGTTCGGGGAGGAGTTTGCTCATTCACGAACAACTCCAGTCTTGATGTCGGATGCTTCGATAAAGGTAAGCTTGATCATTTCTTTTCAGTTTCCACCCTAWAACTCCCTCACGAGCTTCCCCTCAACTTTCTATCTGCTTCTCTCTTGTTTTCCATCAAATCCAAAAACAGCTCCAACCATGGATTATTCATAGTGGGGTTTTGTTTATTAGAAGAGAAAATGTTTTGAAGACAGAGAAAAACGAAAAAGAAAGGTTAATGGATCACACAAATGGATTCATGTGGTTTCCACGTCAACATCTATTGACGTGGCAATTTTCGGCCATATGACCCTCCGCCACAGTGGCAAAGAGATCCACTTTTATGCCCTATCTTTTAACAGAATTATTAATATTAAGGTTCAAGATATAAATAGAAGTACATAACTAGGGCGCCGCATATTGCTATATATACACCAGAGGTAAGAACATTTTGGATGTGCCCACTTCATGCCACGTGGCAAAATAATACACATCAATTAGAACTTCTTTTATAAGTGATCACGCCCGTTTTGGGGTGTATAAAAAATCGGTAAATGACACACCAAGTTCGGGTTTCCTTCTTTCTACACGTTACCAGCATTGTCATTCCGAGTTTCTAATGAATCAGCATTTTCGGTTGAGTGGGTCAATAAGGTTTTTTATTTGGATATATAGTGTGTCATTCAGGACAGAGCCATAGTAATTGATTATTATGAAACCAGTATATGTTATGGGTGATGTTGGCTGGCTTGGTGTGGGTCAACGCCAATAAATAAGTAGAGGTAGAAACTAAAAACTATCCAGTATCGCCACAGCTTTCAAGTTTTCAACATAATATATAGCAGCATATCTCAAGTACTTCGTATCAATGATCACATATAAGAACAGAACAAAACATGTTTGAGATGTGTGACTGTAAATTATGTTGAAAGCTATATGGGTAAGTTAGGGTTGCAACTTCCAATTCGAATTGTCCAATTTGAAGAATTTCAACTTCATCGGCTTGAGTTAGGGTTGGGGAGTTCACATCTCCGCTTCATGAGGAGTCGCTCCACAGCACATTCCCATCGTATATTGAGAACATCTCTCAATAATAATATCAGTCTCGATGATGTGCTGTATGGCATTGTGGGGGGGAAATGTAATCTCAGGATTGGGCCTATTAAAAATTTTACAAATTTTCAACCCAACCCAACCCAAGTTGCATCCGTAGGTGACATCTTGGGGGTGGTAGATCCGCTTTCCTTTGAATTAGAAGTGTATATTAATTTATAATTGGGGACATCCCATTATTCCCTTTAAAGTACATTGAATTTGGCTTAAATTAGTAAAATATTTCAATTCAGTTTGTTCAGTTTGAACAATCCCAGAAGTCAGCTTGTGGGTACGATTATAGAAAGTCAACTTGGAAACCATAATCCAAGAGGCCCCCGAAGACCCGAAAGGTCCATTTTTGTAGGTATATAAAGTTAAATTCCAAATTATATGAAAATTAAAATAAATAAAAAATTCCAAAAATATGTTTTATTTTAATAGTATATACTTCTCCATAAATGCATTCAAGAGCCTATATTTTTTTTTTCATCTTTTTGAGTCAAATACACTCTCTTGTACATGTATCAAATTTCAACTCCCACATCCATGTCCATGCATCCAACAGTGGTAATGAATGAAGCACAACACTTTTCGCACTTGGCTTTTCAATGCGTTCTTAGTTGCGGAAATCTTGACCATCTGTCGTCCCCACAAACTTTCTCCGCATGATAGAGAGTCTATGCATTATGCCTTCGGCATTTTTACTGTTGCATATGTCATGAAAGGAGAGACATGGATTGGAAATATAAACAGGAAACTTCTTAGAAGTTGCGCACTAAAATTATTCACAGTATGGACATGGATGTGGGAGTTGAAATTCAATAGATGTCCAATAGTCTAACATCAACTCTTAAACAACAAGTTCATAGAAAATTATATCTCTAGTTCTCTACTATATAAAACGGTTATTTGTCTTAATTTTAATGCAGGTCATAAATATTAAATTTAATTATATAATATTAATTTATATATTTACCTTTTATTAACATATACATCAATGCATGTGCCCTTACACTAGTATTATTATTAACATCGACCCTTGTTACCAAAGTAATGTTTGATATGAAAAATAGCATTCATCCTATATGCTGCTCATTAATGTCAAATAAACCAAGAGAGAGAAAAGGATAAAAAAAAAAAAAAAATGTACTAAAAAATTCCATTGAGTGTTGGACCGACTGTAGGCATGTTAGAAGAGTGCATGCAACACTGACCCTTGCCTATCATTTTATATGAGCTGAGAAATGTTTTGTTATGGTTGTGCCGTGCAAACGCAAAGCTTCGTTGCAATCCAAACTAAGCTTGTAGCTCATATTTCATATTAGTTAGTCCTACTAAATGAAGGTACCATGTATTTGTATATAGGCAGTGCAAACCAATCGCCAAAGGGTCTCCAAGTGTTCAAAGGAATCGTACTGGGCATTGTCRTACCTTTCATCATGTTCTCCATCTGTATAGCAAGCTACGTGTGCGCCGCAAGCAAGTGTAGCGATTCCAGATACAATGAACCCCAGCCGCAGCATGGCGCTGTAGTCTCTCCACAACCCACGGTTGTGGTGATGGGTCTAGACGAGCCCACCATCCAATCTTACAACAAGTTGGTGCTGGGAGAGAGCAGGCGCCTGCCTGGACCCAACCACCGTGTTTGCTCCATATGTCTGTCGGAGTATCAGCCCAAGGAGACATTGAGATGCATACCCGAGTGTCAGCACTGCTTTCACGCCGATTGCATTGACGAATGGCTCCGGATGAACGCTTCATGCCCTCTTTGTCGGAATTCTCCTCCTCCCCCTCATCTCATTCTCACCTAATTTCCACTTCTTTTAAATCGCTTAGTTTTTCACTTTTTCTTGGGTAGTTGTTTGTATACCAAGTCTAATTGTTTAATTCTTTTGTTTTTCTCCTCTTTTCCCTGTGAAATTGTAGACTTGTTTGTAATCTGTAGATAATATTAGTGATTTTGTGAGAACTGCTAACTGCCTAGCCCATTTACATGGAAAGGAAAGGCCTGCTTAACTGTTTTGTCTCTTTATTTGTTCGTTCTCATTTTGCGACACCAATAACTCATTGCTTCCGCACCTGACAAATTATAAGGATATTTGAATCTTGCAAAGATTTCTTTTTCTTTGCCTTTTTTAAAAGAAAATTGAAACTGCAATCCCATTATCCCAATTCGATAGAATCAGAGTAGAGTCTATTGCTGCATATTTTTTATCTTTTAAAACGCAACATTATTCCCAAAAAGGTCTGATATAAATCCACGATGAATAAATTTGGCATAACGAGCGACTACATACATATTCTTCCTTCTTGGGTCCTCTCTGACATTAATGCAAAAAAAAAAAAAAAAACACCTCTGGGGCTATGTTCTTATAGCTCCTTTATTGCCAGCCAAATACAGAACTGCAAATTGCTGGCTCAAATTTTTAAGCACAAAGTTCACAATCTTTAAAGTAAGGTTTTCATCAAGAAGAATTTGTGAGGCAACATTGAAATTAGGGGTGGCCACGAGCCGAGCTTCTCAAGAGCTATTCAAGCTCGGCTCATGAAAAGCTCAGCTTGGCTCGGTTTAAACTGAGCTTCGAGCCAAGCTCAAGCCTGATATATAGGCTCATTTGCTAATTAAGCCAAGCTCGAGACCAATGAAGCTCGACTCGCGAGGCTCGTGAGGTTCGCGAGCCTTATATAATAAATAAATATTTTTTTATTATATACATACATACATATATATATAAATAGTTTTTATTTTATATAATAATATTTTATATATAATATTTTAATTTTATATGTATAATAGTAAATAATTTTTATAATTCTTATTTTTTTGTATGTAAAATAAAAACATTTTTATATGTATATTTTTTTATTTTTATATGTAAAATAATAAATAATTTTTATAATTCTTAATTTTTTGTATGTAAAATAAAAAAAAAAATATATTTTTATATGTATTTTTTATTTAAAAAAAAACTTGGCTTGCAACCGAGCTCAAACTCAAATTTCTAGCTCAAGTCGAGCTCAAGCTCGAGCCTAACACCAACGAGTCAAGCTCAAATAGCCAAGTATTCGGCTTAGCTCGAATCCACCCCTAATTGAAATATAGAAATACACGTCATATCCTCAGCGGATAGCCACTAACATGGAAACCTCATTTTAACCAACTCATCATCACATTCAATCTATAAGCCTTTCTCATCAACTATATGGGGTGGGGACTACATGAATCTTGTTGTATGTCCAGTTCAGTAACATGTCTTGTGGGTCCTTAAATCATTTTCTAGCCCCATGTCCTTTTTGGCAATGCCCAAACCATCTACTCTACTTTCACTTATTTTATCACCTATTCAATAACACTTTATTTCTGACCCTTCCCCTTTAGTTTTCCCATAAATCCACCTCAGCATTCATATTCATACCCCACCCATTCTTTTGGCATATAGTTTCTTGATTGCCCAACACTGAGATCCATAACAAATAAATTTTCCTTCTTGGATAAAAATGAACTCTATAGATCCTTGAAGCACATTGCCCATATAAATGCATGTTTTGTTGACAGTTTGGGTTCAGGGTATTTTCATCATTTTATAATTCAGATTCTAGTCAGGGGCAGTTGGATGCACACCTATTCAGATTTAGGGAGTTTGCTTGAAGTTAGTTTTGTCCTTAAGGAGTTGTTTGTGTAAAAAAACATTCTAGGGTTTATGTTGTAAATACTTCCGGCTTCTCTTATAAGGGCTGAAGGGGGCTGTTTCTGTAAGGGTCTTTTTGGTGCTTGCTCTCTTGTTTGAGCTGTAACTCAACCCCAGCTAAGGTTTTCAAGTATTGGGAACTTGAATTTTGAGGAATCAACCCATTTTGGCACCTTTCAATCCATCTATAACTCCGTGTCCACACAGGAGACCAGCTTACTGCCATTGTTACTGTAGCATAACTATTTCAAGAGTTGTACTTTAAGTTCATGTCTGAAATCCCTAAAAATCCAACTTGATTTGTTGTTTCAACTTCTTATTTCTTGTGATACTTGAAGTGCTACATGTAATTTTGTTTTTCTGTCCACATCAGCCTATGTGGTCTTTCTTCAACAAACTCAACATTTTATATTATACCATCAATGCCAGGACAAATTCTTCCTAGGTAGTGATATCCTTGATGTATTCATTTCATTGCACAACAAAGATATATAGCTGCTTCACCAGGTTTGTTCTTTGAAAGTCTTATGATCTTCCTCGTTCTCGACAAGAAATAACTCCAAGCAAGTTAGGTCCCTAAAACATCCTTAATTGCATTCAGAACAGTGAGGCACTTTAGCATTCATCATCATTGCATGGCTGTGCTTGGTTGCAGTGCAATTTTATTTGCACTAGTACAAATGAATAGGAGTGCAAAAGAAAAAAAGATGCAAATTCTCGTTTTATTTTGTTTTTGGTTTACTTTATTCTGCTTCATGTCTTAATTTACTTCATTTGTAATGCAATCAAACAAAATAAGCTAAACTTAAAATAAAATAGGTCAGAATTTACACTCAAATTATTTGCACTGCCACAGCTCCGCATCAGTGCAAATTTATTTGCATTGCAACCAAACACAGCCTATAAGACATATAAAAAAGGGTATCCCAATGCACGAAGCTCCTGCCAATGGGTGAACGCTGGTCACCCAGGTTACAGCCTAACTCGGGAATGATATCTGCCTAAAGGCCCTAAACACGAGATGCCAAAATCATGCTAAAGCGTACATGTTTTAGCCAAAGAGGGCGGTGATAATGGGAGTAGAGACACGCCCTTGATTGCAGGCAAGATCCAACCAGATTCTATCATCCATAAATTGACCATCAGCCAGAAAATTGAACATAAAATCTATCTTTTATTAGGGGGAGAGGAGAAGAGGATAATTAGACAGCCTCCGATTAGATCATTGCGATGGGGGACTTGACAATTTTATAGTTGGGATATTTGAAGAGGTTGGCCATGGGAAATTGATAAAGCTAAAGAGGAGCCAAAGACAGGTTTTGAGATTAAGAACTTTAAAACCAACCTAAATGAGAGGTAGGGTCATAAGACAAGGACCTAAGCAAAACCGTTTAGGTTTACTTCAGTATTTAAATCGCTCTAGGATTTTTCAAACCAGGGTTGTCAATGCCAATTCAATTCATGGAATATTAGAGTCATGAAAATGAGAGAATCATCCACAGGCCAGGCCGCAGATTGGGGGTTGGGGGGGGGTTAAGGCCTTATTGCAATGAACATAGTACTCTCTCATTGCTGTTTCGATGGTGCTTCTGCYTCACTTTTTATGGAGTTGGGTGTAAAGATCGTTTTTTTTTTTATGGATAAGTGTGTAATGATCATGGTTTGTCAAAGCTCGGACAAGGAGCCACAATGTGATGGACCCTATTTAATACTTCACTGACAAAATTAAACAAAATAACATCTTTTGTTTTCTAAGCAGTTAGAGCCTAATTGTAACAATAACTTTAGACCCAACTTAGTTGGGACTAGATCTTTTTTTTTTGTCAAGTGTGGGGACTTGATCTAGGTGTCATCATTTGGCATATTCACAAGTGCATTTATTTAAGGGCTGAAAGGCATGGATGCAAAGAAAAAAGGACAACTAATAACAGCAGAACAAGAAACATGCAATTCTGAGGTGTTTAGCCCTTTCCTTTTAAGTTAAGGGGTCCATGGCCTTGGACTTCTTGGCAATGACATAAAAATAGTAGACAGACAGTCATTTCAAATGATAAATATATTACCCAAACTAATCTCATGACACACAAATTGATCTATGTAAACCAGTAACAAATGAAAGCTTCATTCAATTTCAAGGAGATTATAACATATTCCATGACTTGATCCATGATTTTCTTAAGACTTCAAAATACATATACTTGCTTTAATGTAGACCTCATTATGATTAGAAGGAAACAAGTTCCTCTACAACACACACACAAGTCAGAGAAAAACATACTGAATAAGGTTTTAGAGTTAGAAAGCAACTCCTCAGGCAGCAATTCAACAGAGAGAAAACTAAATCATAGCGGAACAGCAAAAAAATGTTTAAAACTAATTTCATGACTGAATTGATTTATGCAAGCCAACAACAAACTAATGCTCCATAGTCCATTCATTTTCAAGCATGTAGATAACATGACTTGTAACATATTACATGACCTTATCCATGATTTTCTGAAGACTTCAAAAATACACATGCATGCTTTACTTAGATCTCATAATTTGGTTAGAAGGAAACATGTTCCTCTACATAAGAAACAAGTCAGAAAAAGCATACTGAATAAGGTCACTTTTTAGCAAGCAATTTCTTGGGAAGCATTTCAAGAGGTGTTGTTTTGAGTAGGAAAAGCCTAGCTGCACGCTCCTGTAAGGTGCCCCCGCATTTCAGTCCACGTGTCTGCAATTCTGTTTTTAACCTTTCCATGCCAAGAACCTATAACAACAAGTGATATCAGTCTTGGTAGTAGCAAAACAGCTACAAGCAACAAAATACAAGAATCGAGAATGAAGTATCCTAAAACAAGTTTGATCCTATTACTGAATGGGGGAAAGGGTGTTCAGTGTTCCTCCGTCATTCCACTATTCCAGTTCAGCAAGATGAAGTATCAAATAAGTCCATTGATTCTTCTAAATGAGTGATATGATCGAATAAACATGTCAGATACATATATTTTTTTGGGAATATTTCAGAAACACATTTTTCACTGGATTTGGTTGCTGCATGGTATTTCCTTTCCCTTTCTTTCTCTTGCATGACATTATAGGATTTTTGAACTGACACTACAAAGTTCCACTGGTCAACTGTGTCATTATGTTGATTTGTGTTCCTATCAATAAATAAATGATACAAGTAGAATTTATTGTACTACAATTCATTATTATTTTAGAAGGTCATGACAATGATAAATTTCCCAACGAACTGATTTTATATGCCTCTGCAGATACAATAAATGAAAATACAGAAAACTGCAAACAAGAATTTTCCTGAATTTGAGACAATGATCACATTTCAAGATTCCATCAAGTATTGAAGTAGAACATAAGAGGCTAAACCTACAAGAAAGATCATCATCATCTAAGACTTGTCCTAACTATATGGGGTCCCTACATGAATCCTGTTAGCCATTCTGTTTAATGCACCAACCTACAAGGAAGTCAGTTATATACCTACTCCCATTCCTATTTAAGTAACTAAAATGCATGCAGGAAATAAGCAACCTAAAGAGGTAAACATGATGTTCTACACCATACAATCTGTGCTATTCTTATAACTAGACTCTCCGAGCTGGGCCTAAAAGTCAAGTCAAATGGGGGAATATCCTCCTCTCCAAATTTGTCCAAAAACTATACTTGCATCATCACCTTGCCCAATACAATCATATAACTGCAAACCCCAGCCATCTATAAACTGAGGGTATGACATATTTCTCCTACTATAAGATAGGAAAGCCATATACAAATAAGCTCAAGCTAGGGGTGGCAATTCATGTTCTCGTATCGTGTTTGTGTCGTGTAGAGGAAGGGGCATTTGGATATATCATGTATGGGTCGATACGAACACAACACGATTAATTAATCATGTCAAATTTTCAAACACGAACACAACCTATTTATTACATGTGTAACACGACACGACCCACATAACCCAAATTAATACGATTAAGGATTAACCAGTTTAATTCTTTACTAAATGTCACATATAAACCAAATTAATATAAAATCAACACAATTAACCCGTTTAAGTTAAACAGTAAATAGATGTAAATAATAAAATAAACATTCAATCACTCATTATATAAACAAATTCATAGAGACCATTCAATGTCATACTTACCTAACATAATAGTATTTCATCCAAATACCATTCAGTCCACCTCTACAAGGCTAAATGTTGGACCCCTCCACCAGATATACGAAGCTTGTTTGCCACTTCTTTCCTTAGATGGCCTAAGAAAAGGGGTAGGGTTATGTGGAGGTGTGTGAGGGCTGCCATTTGCTGGACTTTATGGGAAGAAATGAACTCTAAGACTTTTTCTGATAAGGAAAGTAACAAAGAAGGTATCATTGAGGTAATAATGGTTAGGGTGGTGCATTGGCTGAAATATTTGGATATGCTTGCTTGTGTCTCTACAGATATGCTGCTGAATAGCTGGCTAGAAGTGACAAATTCTGCTCCGTTTTCATCAGTTGCCTCTGTGGTCCCCAATAGGCCCAAGGTGCATAAAACTGAGTTTTGATGGCAGTAGTGAAGGTAATCCTGGGCCCTCAGGTGTTGGTGGTGGGGTGTTCAGAGATGAGAATGGAAAGGTGATTGCATTGTTTTCAGGCCCCATTGGGAGTGGTGACTCTCTCAGAGCTGAGATATGTTCCTTAATGGAAGGTTTAAGAAAGATAAAGGAGCTGAATATTCATAGACTAATTGTTGAAGGAGACTCAAAGCTGATTTTAAGCTGGTTACAGAAGGACAATGGACTGTCGAAATATGCAAATGAGAGAAGGGAGGCTAAATGGCTAACTAGGGGGTTGGAGGTTCAGATTCCATGGTTTTAAGCTGGTTACAGAATGACAATGGACTGTGGAAATATGCAAATGAGAGAAGGGAGGCTAAATGGCTAACTAGGGGGTTGGAGGTTCAGATTCAATGGGTGAAGAGGACTGCAAATGCTTTTGCTGGGCTATATTGTAATCATATTTTCTTTTTCCTTTCTCGGGAGAGTTAAGCCTCTTTACCTCTTCCCGGGATGTTGTAATATTATTGTCCTTTAATAAAATGAATTCTTTTATTGATCAAAAAATAGTATTCATCCAAATATGCATACATGATCTAATACTTGAAACTCTAGGTCATATACAGGTCATTTTCAAGTTAAGTGGGTCAACCCAAAATTGACATGTTTATTAATCGTGTTAAACATGTAGACACAAACACAATTAAGGTAAACCCAAACCCGTGTTAAACAGGTAGACTAACGCAATTAAGGTAAACCCAAACCCACTAACTTCATGCCGTGTTCACATGTCGTGTCAAATATTGGAAAAGTTGGACTCAGCAAGTTTGCTGGGGCCGATATGATCCCAAACTGCCATGTTATAAAGCTCTCATTTCTCGCACTGCTTAGAGATGTAAACAGGTATTACAGGGACTTTGGCAATGCAAGTTCCTCTTGGTTTTGAGACAAGAAAACAAAATAGGTGTCTCCTTTAAAAACAAAACTATATCTCATTAACGTTAATGCATACAGAAAGATAATGATTTTAAAGGTGGAAACATTTGATTACTAAAAATGTGCTTTATGGTTTAAAGAAAGTCTAGAATGATCAAAAATTGAAATAAGCAATAATATAATAGAATGGGCAAGAAAAACAAATAAACAGCAGGGGCATTTCCGTGAGCATACCTCCATCTCTGCTGCTGACTGATAGTTGTCAAAATTCAGTGGCTTCTCCAACTCAGTGGTTTCCCCTGTTTCATGAACTTCATGCTTTGGCTCAACAAAATCATTTGAGTCGGTGACGTTGGGTGCTTTTTCAGAATCTTCAGTAACTCCTGAATGAGAGGGGTTGGTATTGAGCATTTCTTCCCGACTAACAAGTGTAGGTTCAAGAGAACCGCCGTCTTCAGCAAGGGCATCAATGCTCTTAACGACCTTATCTTCACGCACACCCAATTCAGGTTGAATAAAATCATTTGGTTCGGAATGAACAACACCTGCCGAACTTTCGCCCAAGTCAAACCCTTCTTTCTTTGCAACATCATTTTCTTCATCCAAATTGCTCCGTGGAGAGGTCCCGCCAGAGGACTGCCCATCAGAAACCGATCCTGAACTTCCCTCACCATCTTTATTTTGCCTTTCATGACACCCATCATCCAGAACAACAGATTTCTCTTCTTCCTCGCTTTCAATCTCATCCTCGTCCTCTTCGTCATCGCTATCGCTTTCATCCACATTTCTCTTTCCCGTCCTAATAAAATCAAGCAGTTCACTATCAAATTAGGAGTAAACTAAAACCCTAGAAATGACAGGAAAGGGAGAAGCTAAGGAAAAAAAATAAATTAACCCAAACAAAATTGAAATTTTACCATATCTTCAACCGTTTCGATGCCGACTCCGTTGCGAGCAAGTCCTTTCGCTTTGAATTTTCGTAAAGACGGAAGGATTCCCTTACAGATGCTTCGATCTCTTCCATACATTTGGCCGAATCTTCCCTGTATTTCTCGATATACTTCTCCGAATCCCCCGAACCCGATTTCTTCACTGCCTTTGCCTTCTTCTTGAGGAAATCCTCGGCGATCTTCTCGAGTTTGCGCTCCTCAACCTCAGCTTTCCACTCCTCTAACTTCTTCTCGGCATTAACGTGACGAAGCCTCCGGCCACTCATATCCCTGCAGGCATCGAAGTTGTTGGTCTTCTTCTGGCCGGCTTTAGTGGCAGCGCCTCGAAGGAGGGAACCGAACCCTCCTTTGCCACCGAGAAGACGAAGAAGGAGATGAATAGTAGGGAAATTTCCATCGAGAGAGGCTGTAAGTAAGGTATCTTCGCTGATGTTTCGAACGCCGGAGCATAATCGTTGGTGTTGTGGAGGGATGTTGGTAACCTTGTGGAGATGCGTCTTAATGATATCGCCTGAGATGGTTGGGGAAGGAAATTCTAGATAGCAAGATCTGCCATCAAGAAGCCTGACGAATAGGTGAAAGACCGCCATTGATGAAGGAGCTCTCTTTCCCTAATCCCTGTGAATCGTATCGACTATCAAATATTAACGATGGTAACAATGAAAGAAAGAAAGGAATAGATAACCGAGTATTAGTGTTATGCGAGGGGGGGAATAGACCAGATCTAAGAACCTAACCCGTCCAAGCCTCCAAAAGGTCGAGGGACCCGACAGATTATATATCTAGGAGGCGCTCGCTACGCGTTAGATGGATGGGGAATGCAGGGGGGATACGTAGGGGGTTGGATCGCGAACGGGATCTGCTCTTCACACATGCACGCCTCACAGGCACATCTACCGTACATTGAAAACATCTCCCGTTTTATAAGTACGGGAGATGCGATACCGGATCTGCTCTTCACCTTGGCGCCTCACAGACGCATCCTATCATTCATCGGGAGCATCTCCCGTTCTTATTAGTTATTATTGACGGGAGATATTACTAATGCACGGTGGATGTGCATGTGAAACGCTCATTTGTGAGGAGCAGATCCCATCTCCTAATGCATGATAGGATGTGCGTGTGCGATCAGTTTGTGAGGCGCCCTATGTGCAGTTGCGGTCTCATTGGATCGTACCACCGGAGCAAACATGATTAATATGATACCGGAAAACAGGTGATCAATCAGATAATGTTTATCAAAATTGGTGAATTGATTGGCCAAAGTTATAAATATTAAAAATATCAAATACCTCTACTCTATACACCAATGCTCGCCTGTAAATTGGCATCAATTCCGACCTGGCAGCTACCCCAAATGTACTTTGGGTCTAAAAATTCTGACCTTGAACCACCATTCTCCCAAGGAAAAATTGCCTCTAATTTTAAAATGCGACAATCTAGTACCTAAAACTTTATTTTTTGGTAATACGATATCTGCTATTAACGAACCATCAATCGGTGCATAGAAAGACGTAAATACCCATTATATTTTTGATAATCAAGTTTTATTCATTTTCGAAATTACTAAAATAACCTTCACTACAATAACCTTTCTCTATGAGTGGGAACCATTCTTCACTATTCTAACATTCCAAAGAGACCAGTTTCTCTCCACCCATGCTAATAAGCGGAATACACCGCCGGAAAAGCTAAGATCAATGGGAAAACATCACCAGAGAGCATCATACAAAGATATTCACCATTTTATTAGGAAAATATCATCGGAACAGAGTGTATTTGCTACCATTAGAAGTGTTTTTAATCCCATCATCATCGGAGAAGATGAACGACGTCAGAGAAGACAAACAAGGTTTTTTTTTTTTTTGCTATTTTGTTTCTATCCATTTTCTATGAGGTAGCATCACAAAATTCTTTGGTCAATTGGAATACTTGAAAAGGCAATTCTTCGCCAACATTTGAAGAGAAAGGGCTTCTATGGGCTTCAAGTCAAACCAATTCAAGAACTATCAGCAGATCAAAACAAGAAAATGATGTAGAGTACGACATATTCCAAGTTGGCAAGAAGCAAGCTGAAGAGCATGTTGGGAGATCTATTGTACGGGTCTAGACCTGTTCATGGGCCAAGACGGGTTGGGCTTTCACTCGCTGTCGCCGACTACCACTACTAGCCTAGTTCGTCGCCACCAGATAATGATAAAAACGACGAGATCGCTGAAGCATGTCACTGCTAGCTTATGCTCGAAACTGACTTGCTGGAGATTGCTAGTTCGTTTGTGGCATTGGTGCCTGAGTTTGCCGAAGAAGGTAAAGTAAAAAAAAAAAAAAAAGGTTTCCATGCCGCTGCTAGCTTATGCTCGACGTCAGCTTGCTAGAGATTGCTAGTTCGTTGATGGCGCTGATTGGTTCATTGAGCTATAGAAAGACTAAGACTCTGAGAGTGAAAACTGAGAAGTATCCATGAGAAGAGGGAAAGGATTAGTCAGTTAGGGACTTAGGGTTTAGAAATTATAAAAAAATAATTATATATTTTATATTATATAAAAAACCGGGCCAGGTCGAGCTCAGGCCATGTTTTTTTGACAAATCCCGAGCCTGGCCCAAAAAGTAATCGAGCTGGGCTTTTAGGCCCAAGGTCAAGTCCGCAGGCTAAAAAACATGACCAAGCCCGTTTGGGGCCGAGCCGGGCCGTCGGGCTACCTTGCCCATGAACAGGTCTATACAGGTCCAAGCCATGTTCCAATCAAAGCGAGCACAACAAGAATATAGGACGATGAAAATGACCTATGATCAAGTAGTGGTAAATAGTTTTCTACTAAAAACCCTAAAGTTGCAATTTAGGTATGTAGGTTAGATAACTAACTAAACCCTAGTTTGTGCAACTAGAATACAAAGGTCTTCTTGATCCTGAAGTTGAAAACCAAAGCTGAAGGAATAGGAGTTGCTCCAAGGATATGAAGGTCCTCCGTCAGTTAGCAATGAAGGAGGACAAGGAGTGACAGCAAGAACTTACTTTAACATTATCACAAAGCAACTACAAATGGAGATCGGAGATCAGAGATGAAAGAGCCTCCTTTTTCGATCTTCCAACCTAGGACTAAAAGATCCATCCAAGTAGAGATGAAAGAGTTGTCCGCACTCTCAACAATGGAGATTGGAAATCCTCCTTCACTGGTTTTCCAACCCAGGACTAAAGATGAAAGAGCCTTTTTCCCTTCTTTTATTTATTTAAAGATAAAGGGTAAATGGTCTGAAAATTATCAATAAGGTTAATTTTGGCATTTTTAATTATTTAATCCGCATATGGTGTCACGTGATGGTGCTAGTTGGCAGTCCGTTAATGGTAGGTATTGGATTATTACATTTCGAAAGTTTGGATACTGGATTGTTGCATTTTAAAGTTCAGGAACCAAATTGTCATTCGAGCCAAAGTATAGGGTACCAATCAAGAATTTTGAGCCTAATGCCACTTCGGTCCCTAAATTTTAAAACAGGACAATTCAATACTTGAACTTTCAAAACGTGTCAATCCAATACCTGTCGTTAACTAGTCCATCAACCAATCATTAAGTGGTTTTTGAAAAGACACAAATGCCCTTTGTCATCTAATTCTCTATATCAACCATCCAAACATTGATAAAAAATGAATAGTTCCAACTTTCTTGAATAGAAGAGACAAGGATTTGGGGCTGATCATTTTTTATCAACATTTGGATGGTTAATAAAGAGAATTGGATGACACTCGAAGAGTATTTGTGTATTTTCAAATGCCACTTAATGGCTGGTTAACAAACTAGTTAACGGCAAATATTGGATTGGCACATTTTGAAAGTTCAGGGACCAAAATGGCACTAGGCCCAAAGTACATATTAATCATATTAATCATGTGGAACTTTCTAACACCGTTGCATCTAAACCACTTTTGTTGGAACCCTCTAATAATATTAGAGGCACAAAAATGTCAAAATTATCCTTAAGCGATTGATATGAAGGATAAATTGATATAAACAACAAAAAAAAAAGATTGAAAAGATTTGGACTAGCGATTCATATGAAAAGAAAATTGGAAAATAAACATTTTAGTAAAAAATAACTACATGGGTATTTTGGACATTGCCATGCTTCTTTTTAGGCCTTGTTTGTTTTGCGTTATCCAAAGGAATGTATTTTTTCCTAGGCAAGTGATTCCTAGGGAAACATTACCAAAGTAATTATAGAGAGCGTTTCAGCTTGGCCAACAATTACCAAAATAAGACAAAATAAACAAGGCAATTGGCATTTTCGGCAGATGGGTAATTTACCTACCCTTTAGGAGTGTATTAGTTACTCAAATAGCCAATATTTTCTAGAAAAAAATTATCATGAACTCCATTGTAGCAGCCGCGGAACATAGGATTATTGCATTTCCATGGGACCCACCTACTTACTCCCCCAATTTTTACTACAAAATGAATGAGGCCTTAAAGGACTCTAACAAAGGTCCCAAACCCCATTCTAACAAAGGTCAATTTGCAATTACCAAACTTCAAAGGAGGTTTCAATAATTTATCCAAGCGAAAAATTTGCGGGCCATTCAAATACAAGCCTTGTCAAATTCGAGACTTTTAAGTGTGAAGTTTTATTTAGGTTGTACATCATTTATAAATTCTTCCATCCCATAATTTTTTATCAATTTATATAATTGGAAACATTGACAAGTGGAGGAATATATCACAATAAAGGGGATATTATAGCACAAATGGGTTTGAGACACTACACTACTAAGAACTACTGTTGGTTGCATTTTTTTTCTTTTTTTTTCCTTTTTTGACAAGAACTATCGGTTGCATATTGGAATCATCTTTATATCTATTTTGGAATGTTCTTGTATTTCAAAAATAACTGTAAAAATGTCTCATGTCACCCATAGTTACAGAAATAAAAATAAAGTAAAATAGACAATAATAAAAATATATATTTTAATGCCTATACTATATTGTTATATTCCTTTATTTTCTATCTTAATTTATTATCTTATGTTATTTTTCTATTTTTGTCTATTTACTTCTGTTTTCCTGTTATTTCAAATCAGCATTTAGCTTAACAGATGTTGCATAGTAGAGGGGGTGTCTTTAATAATACGCAAATATAAGGTAGTAAATATATGAAAATATTAGGGGTGTCTTAGTAAATAACCTTAAAAATATTAACATTTATCAATAACCTTTTGGCGTCATAGAACTTGCCTAAAAGAAATATCAATGACTGAATTCTGTATTGAAAGGACCTATCCACCATTGTCATAAATCTACTAGATCACGGAATTTATTAAGAGAAAGCTAAATAATAGAAAGAGTCATATACTAAAATATCACTTATAGTTTCATGGATTTATTAAAATCTACCCTATAGTTAGCATTTTACTAAAACACCAATGGATTTAATCAATCTTCCGTTAAATGATAGTAGAAATTGACAGTGTTGACCCTAATGTTCATTTTAATAATTTTAATCAAAAGAAAATAAATATAAAAATATAAATACCATTTTCCCTTAATAAGACACAGACAACCACTCTATTGGCTATATTTGGTCAACTTTGTTTTTCATACAAAAAAAAAGTGTTAAGTGTATTTTTGGAATAAAAAATCATGGGCCTAATGGCAAAACAAACACTCCTTAATGAAATGTTGATTAAGTAAATAAGTTGTAAAATATATGGGATGTTTTAGTAAAATGAAAACTATAAGCTAGGTTTAAGTAAATATGTAAAACTATAAGGTGTGTAGGAATGGCAACAGGGTGGGGATCCTTGTCCCTCACCCTGACTTTGAAATAACCCCCACCCCCAATCCCCGACGGGGAATTGGTTCCCCGTAGGGACCCGAAACCTCAAAATGTTTTCAGATAATAGTATTTTTTTTAAATAAATTTATTTAAAAGAAATAAAAATTTTAAATTATAAATAATATTTTAAATATATTTTGATTATATATAATATAAATAATATAATAGTATATTTAATATAAATAACATTAAATATATATATATATAATCGGGGTCGAAGTCGGGGTGGGGCGGGGACCTCAATCCCCATCCCCGACCTCGACCCCAACCTCAACAGGGGATTCCTATTAATCCCCATCCCTGCTTCTGCCCTGCCAAAACAATCCTCATCCCCAGCCCCATCTGGTCGRGGAAGTCGAGTCCCCGTCGAGGATGGGGAAAATTGTCATCCCTAAATGAGTGTTCTAATAAATGACCCTAATAGAAACACATAAGAGTATACAATTGTTTTATATTTTCAACTTTTTAAATAATTAATAATTATTCATATTTTATATACTACTTTTTATATAATTTTTATAACACAAAAATAACAATAATTAATTTCAATTAGGTTTATTAATCAAACCGATGAAACCGACCAACCCGATTAACTCGACCCGAATTGGTCGGTTTTCTAGTATTTTAGGTTGTCTTTGGTTCAAAAATTTCCCAATTCGACCAAGTTTGATTAGTTTCACTTTGGCCATTTGTAAACCGACCAAAATTGAACGACCTAACCATGGATATATATTAATATTTTATATTTTAAATATAATTTTTAATATGGAAAAGTGGGAATTTTCCCATATATCTTAGTCTAAAATGTTTCATATCATAAATCTAATTTTTAAATTTATTATTTAATAATTGTACTGTAATTTTTTAAATTAAATTAAATTTTTAGGTTTAAATCTTTTGAACAGACTAACCAAACCAAAAAATCAACCCAAACTGATACAACCTGAGTGGGTCGATTTTCACAAAAGGTTAGTCGATTTCAATTGACCAACTCCCTAACTTGACCAGATCAATTTGATTGCCCAAATAGCCTACGACCAAACCGAACCAACTCATGAACACTCATAATTTAAACTAAATTAATAGTCTTATCTCTAATAAATAACAATAGTTTAATCTCCAATAATTATTGAAAATTTATAGCAAAAATACAYAATTATTGAAAATATATTGATAATGAAATATACAATAATTATAGAAATTACAAAAATACAATAAGTACTAAAAATATATTAACTTAGYCAATAAATAGTATAATCTCAAATAATAGTTTAATCTCTATTTAATATTAATCAATAACTTATAACAAAAATACAATAAGTACAATAAATTAAATTTAAAAAAATTTAATCTCCAATAATTATTGAAAGATTTCTATTAAATAACAAAACAAAATAAATTTAAACATAATCATTGAAAATACATTTATCACAAAAGACAATAAATATTAATTTTAGTAGATATAATTATATAATAAATATAGATTAAGAGTTTAAAATTATTATTAATAAATATTATTTTTTTAAAAGTTATTTTCTCGAATTATTACCTGATATAAGTGAAGTTAATTATTTACAATATTATGTAAAAATAATAAATTATTATTAATTTCAATATTATGCTATAATTATTTTTCTATCTTTTAGAATTTTTTTTTAGTTTATTACATAATTTCTTTATTTTAACTATTTAAAATCTAGTTATGTTAAATATTTTGTTATTTAAAATATTTAGTTATTTAAATACTTAAATAATATGTAAAATATTTAAATTTTAAAATATTAATTATTTATTGAATTAAAGATAATTCAATAAATAGGAATTATCACAAAAGGAGAAAATAGAGATAATTTTGGAGAAAGTGAGGGATAGTGGGAGAGGAATCTCATTGGTTGTTTCAAAAATGACATGGAATTAAAAAATGAAAATTTCAAAAAAATGAGAAAATAGATAAATAGCTTCTCTCAAAGGAGAGCTATGCTGACATGGCAGGATCAGTTTTAATATATATAGATAGATAGATAGATAGATAGATAGATAGATAGATAGATAGATAGATAGATTCTGCCGGAAAGACGATAAGGGAAGAGGTTTTACCAATCAAACCCCATGTGAATTTTCAGAATTCATTCCCACTTTCACAATTTGTGGTGTGGTGTCTTTCGAGTATCATGGACGAGCCCGAAGTATAAGATGATTTTCTTGGTGAGTGTTCGGTATCAATGTCGTTTTCTGTTTCATGAGAAAACGGCACCATATAGACACCACATCAAAGAAACCAATGTTTCAAATAATGCCTTCTTGATTGGTACTGTTTTTTCATAAAAAAATATATTGCTCCAGATCATGTTTTGGAAATCGAAAAAATATGATTTGGAACAACACCAAATTCAATGTTTTCTAAGAAAACGGCGTATTACTACCAGCGGTGCAATGATGTGACATCATCTTGGATGTTAGATAATATAAACCATGTTGAAAACATTGCTACCAACACCGATACCAGCACCGTTTTTCTTAAACAATGCCATTAATTGGATTTTACAGATTGACAAAATGGGTCATCCATATGACACGCCAAAGTGTCATGGCATTAGGATGGTATTAGAACTACAAAAGTTCTATATCTATTCCATAGGTTTGTGTTAAGAGTTGGGATCTTCTGCCAACAAAACACATTTCAAGTTCCAACCCTCTACCGACTTCATCTAACATCGCACATCTCACTATGAGACTGAGGCCTACCATTTATGAGATGTGCGGTATAAGATCATGTTGGTGGAGGGTTGGAACGTCTTTTGTTGGCAGGTGATCCGTTGAACCAAGTCAATGGATCGAACAGGCAACAATGAAGGGTGCTAGTAGTTTAACTGAAAGCATGAAAAAGAGGGTTTATGCAATGCTCTATCCCTTGAAATTTTCGTAGAGATTTTGTTGTTGCAATTGATCACCAAGGTAATACAATAGAGAAACTTGCAAATATTTTCATACATAATTACAAACTAAACAAAAGGATTTGSATGCTTATGTCTATGTACATGTTGGTATGGACAAGGGCAGCATGTCATTGTATCATGGGTTGGACAAGTTTCGAGATTCAGACTTGGAGTCTGTAGCATGCTTACTGTACAAAGAACCCATTGCCGGAACTTCAGCATGGGAAGAGACAATGGCAGAAAGAGGCTGAAAATTTGTATTCCCAACAAACCAATACAAAGCCCATTTCAGATTGCAGAGGGTATACTTGAGAGCCTTAGTCCAATTCTCCTGCTTGTTGAAGCTTTGTGTGATTGTGTAGTTCTCCACTCTGTCGTTCTCAATCCTGCAATAATTAGCCATGGATAATTAGAATCTGAAATATTTCAAGAAAGTTCGACACCTTTCATATCTTGGAAACAGCCCGTGTGTGTGTAGTGTTAAGGCTGCATACATCTATTCCTCCCTAGATCCCACATTGGCAGAAGCCTCGTGCACTGGGCTGCCCTTATATAGTAGTTTGGTTTACTTATATATGAAGGTGCAACAACTAATGTTAGAACACCTGTAGGGGAGGCATCAGACTTTATAGTTATGATGAGTCTTCACCAAGGCATGGCACTTAGCCCTTATTTACTTGCACTTAGTCTTAGATGAATTGGCTAAACATTCAGGAGAAGGCCCTTTGGTGCATGTTAGTGCTGATAACATTGTTTTCATTGATGAAGCTAATTAAGGATTAAATGCAAAATTAAACCATGGACAAATACCTTAGAAGCAAGAGGTTTTAAAATATGTAGAACTAAAACAGAATATATGAGGGGTTTTGAGAGAGAAGGATAACAACATTCTTTCCTCATTCTCAGGACCAGTTAGAGTTGGAGACTCTACAAGGGCTTAAAGACCAAGAGATAACTCAATGTAGTTTTTTTTGGTACCTTGGTTCAACAATTCATAACCAAGGAGAGGTTGAGGATGTTGCCCGATAGAATGAGAGTATGATGGGAAAAATGGAAGGGATGCATTTTAACTTTTATGTGAAAGATAAATACCATTTGGATTAAAAGAAAAATTCATAGCCATGTTGTATGGAGCAGAGTGTTGGGCAGTCAATAAAATGTTAAAAAAAATGTGTGGCAGAAATGCATATGCCAAGATGGATGAGTGGAAAAACTAGAAAGGGTAGTGTTAGAAATGAGGTCAATCGAAAAAAAAAAAACTAGGAGTAGCTCCAATAGGAGATAAAATGACAGAAGGTAGACTTAAATGGCTTTGGTCATGTGCATAGAAAACCACCAACAGCACCTGTAAGAAGAAGTGATTTGTTGCAAGCTAAAAGGGCTAGGGGTAGACCAAAAAAGACTAGGGTAGTAGTAAAAGATGATTTAAGCACCAATAATTTAACAATGGTTATGGCTTTAAACAAAACGAAATGGTGAAGGATTCATGTAGCCAACCCCATATAGCTGGAATAAAGCTTGGAGGATGATTATGAGCTTGGATTACTTTTTCCCTAAAGCCAATCCTTTTCCATCTGCACCAGTAAAAACTTCCATCCTTTCTGGAAAAGAAAAAGACTTGTCCTAAAGAAATCCATCAAAAATAAAAATAAAAGATTTGTCCTAAACATAAGCTAGATAGATGTTTTTTGTGACTAATGGCAACATCTATTTACTTTATATTGTTCAATGCCAATGAATATACTTTTTAATTGTACAATTTTATCAAAGAATAATGGCATGCACATTACAGTTTGCAGAATTCTATACAAAAAGTCAAAAAAGACCTATGATTCAAGAACATCCTCAACACACACACACATACAAAAAAAAATACATTTGCAATATAACTATCACAACTAAAGGAGATAATCCCATGGCTAACCCCCCCCCCCTTTTTTTTGGTGGGGGGGTTGAAATCTCAAGGTATGTATGTGAGGATTCATTTGGGCAAACTGGTGAGATGACAGGCCGTAAATAGAAACTTTCCCATCTTGATTTCTTATAGCAGAAAACAGGGAGGCCTTGGTGATAGATATGCATAAAGTGCAGATCAATGGAACCAATATCAATGCCCGGTCGCCATAGAAATTAAATGACTGAGAGATTGATAGCATGGTGACATTATTTTAAAAAGCTTATGGTTATCATCTCCGAGCTGGTCCAGTAGATTAAGGGTTTAAATGACACAAATCTAAAGTGTCCACGGTGATGTCATTTTTAACCATCCAAGGGCATGTGGTAATTCCCCTTTCTATCATAAACAGATTTAGGAGCCTACTGTCCCCATTAAAGTGCCATTCGTGTACCACCGTGCAAGGAAAATGTTTAGCCAGAGACAAACTTCTAAGAAAAGGTTAGAATAGGACTTGGGTCTTCATAGATGCTTGAGGGACCATGAGGCAATATACACGGTTTCTCTCTCTCTCTCTCTCTTGGAACACCTGAAAGAAGTCTTCCTAGATCCCTCAGGCCAGGAGGGGAGGCTTTAGACCTTAAACTCCAGTGGTGTCTTCTCTTGTGCGTCCTTTGAAGCTCTTTCATGTAATCCATCTCCACATTCCCATCCAAGTCGTGAAAAGGTCCTACTCCTAATAGGATAAGAGCTTTTATCTGCAAATTCTATCATGACAAAATCAACACCTTTGAGAATCTTTAGAAAAGAAGGCCATCATGGCAATTATCCCCTCTTTTTCTTTTGGAAGAAGTAAATATTACATTAATAATAAAAAAGAATGACCCTGTACAACAAGAGGTTGTACAAAGGGTATGTACAGCAAATACCTCTCTCAACCCTATACCATCACCCCCCTCCTATTAACAAAATGATTTTCATAAACAAAAAAAAAGGACTTGCTCTTCCTATAAACTCTTGTTTGTTTTCTCTACGAGGCAAGTGGTGAGAATACTTCTGTCAATTTGCTAACATCATTTGTGAGTTATTCTCCTCTTTATTTGGGTGCGGGCGAGCCCCCCTACGGATCTAAAGATGCTCCTCCCATATAAAAAGGCATCGTTTAGAAAACTGAACCAGACCAGCTGGTCAGATCAGTTAAACTGTGACCCTGCCCTCTGGCCGGTTTGGTCATACATTGAAAACCATAATTCACATAAAACTGGCCAAAACCGACTGACCATCCGGTTTTACCAGAAAACTGGTGAACCAATCCTGGTTTTATGAAACCTTACGAGTCATTACATGAAGAGAAACTTCAAAATGTTGATGACAAGACTTGAACCCAAAACCTCTTATCTTATTTATGTGCATTGTCTTGTTAACCATTAATCCATTTCTTTGTTTGGATTTATTCGTGCCCCTTTAATGTATTTATTGCTTTAATACACATATTTTAAAGAAAGTGTGAGTTAAGAGAGTTGAACCCTGATCATTTATTTTAAAAACTTAAAAAACAAACCATCTATCTACCACATGCAAGTGTAATAATATTTGTGAAATATATTAAATGTAATACTTATATAACTTATAATATATATATATATATATGTATATGCCAGATCATCATGGTTCGAACTATGGTTTGACCGCGGTTGAACCTCTCCCTTTTCTGGTTCTATGCCTGGTCAGGTTCTCTAAACATTGGGGAAAAGATTATGTGGAAATGTGTTAGAGCAGCTATCCTTTTGGTGCAATTAGAAGGAAAGGAATTCAAGGGTTTTCAAAGAAAAATGAAGAAGCAAAGAGAAAGTGTTGGAGAATGTTTTGGTGAAGGTCCACCATAGGTTAAAGACTTCAGATGGCTTGCATCAGTTCACAATAGATGGCATGCAGAAACTGCCAAGTTGTAGAATTTTCCCCTTCTACAAGGACCAAGCAAAATCAGATTTGGCATCCACGCGACCATCAATTGCATCAATCTGATCTTTGATGGGTGCAGTCTAGGGAACCAAATTGGAGAAATATTTAGAAATTGGGAGGGTCATATTCAGGCATTATTTTCAGGACCTACGAGTGTAGGCAATTGTAATAAAGTAGAAATATGGGCTTTGCTGCATAAATTGAGGATGGATATAGCGCTCAACTTCAGGAAGTTACAAATTGAAAGAGATTAGAAAAATTGTTTCTTAGGCTAAAAACAGATCAGGTTTGTCGAAATACAGATATATGTTGAGGGAGACTAGGAACCTATTATTGAAGGTTGGAGTCCAATTCAGATGGGTTCCAAGATCAGCAAACTACCTTGCTGATGGCTGGCTAAATCTGGAGCTACTAGACAACAGTTGTTTTGGGGTACTATACCTAGGTAAGAACATTAAAGGGATTAGCTGAGGTTTGATGGGATGGAAAGCACTAAACTCTGCAAAACTATATATTTTTTAATGCAATAAAATTCTGATGTTACCAAACCAAAAATAATAAAAAAAAAATCTAAGAGGAATGAAATCAGACCAACACCAACTTTTCTTCCATTGCCCCAAAGGATTCTCAATATAGAACAAGACTTACTTGTAAGGGAGCTTGAAACACTTTTCTGTTGGTATATTGTTTTCTTGGTCCTTGGAATTTGCAAACTCAGCAAAGTCTTTGAGGCATGTCAGGAACAGAGTCATTGCTTTGTCATAGCGAGTGCTCCAAAATAAGTTAACTGGACCAAACCTGTAAAATAAGTAACAACAGAAAAAAAATTTAGAAAAGAAGAAAAACACATACATAAATCAAATAGATAGAATGCAAACCTCTCCCCATTATCAAAAAAAGTTTTGTTTTTTTTTTAATCAATGGTGACAAGAATTTCATTAATATTAGAAACAGTATATACAAATTTACATTATCAATTACAATCTTATTTTTGAGAGACTCAAACCTCTCCCCATTTCTATAATTACAACTTTGCTCAAAACATATTATCCCTCGCAACCCCTTGTTTAGATAAAGTATCAGCCATGTGGTTAGCAGCTCTCTGAACCCATTGCATCATACTGCTCATCATCCATCTAATCTTTTTGATTCATTCCTGTGCATCCAAAGAGATTCTTCATAATTCATCAGCCAACCGATTACCACCTTTGAATCCCCTTCTATTATCAATTTCTGTATATTCAATTCTTTTGCTCTCTTCACACCTTCTGTGACAGCCATAATTTCTTCTCTCAATGAGTCCCTTACTCCAATCGGACCTAAAAACATTGCAATTACATGACTCTCCTCATTCCTAAACACTCCCTACCCTGATTGCCCCAGGCTACCCATTCTTCTGCCATCAAAATTTAATTTTATATAGCCTTCCTGTGGAGGTAACCCTTCTTTGTACTCTATTAAAAGAATGTTGTTTTTTTTTTATCAATGAAAATAATTTATTAATCCAGAAATAAGAAGGCAATACAGGAAACCCAAAAAGAGGTACGAGCTGTTCCCTCTTTTAATAAAGTATTACATCAAATTAAACAGAAATAGCCCGAAGTAAAATTACAGAGCAGCCCAAAATAAATGTTCCCTTGAAGCCCCCTGCTTAGCTAACCCATCTGCTAAGGTATTTGCTGATCTTCCCACCCAAAGAGAGGCAACAGTCATGTTTCTTGTGAGCCAGTTGACTTTCCTCAATAAATCTCTGTGTCACCACATAGCTGAAGCTGGGTCTGTCAACCATCCCACAATATTCTTAGAATCTCCTTCAACTACCAATCGCTGAACTCCTAGTTGTTCTGCAATCTGAATACCTTGTACCACCGCTAAAATCAGCTCTATTAGAGTCTCCTATTCCCACGGGACCTGAAAACAAGGCTAAGATGTTGCTCTCCATATCTCTCAGCACCCCTCCTATCCCCGATGGGCCTGGGTTTCCTTGGCAGCTGCCATCAAAGTTCAGCTTTACCCATCCTTCAGGCGGAGGGATCCACACTGCAGATTCCCTGTCCTTCCTTGTATGGCTGTTAGCCACCGATATCCAGTGTCTCCAAATATCATCAAAGGAGAAAGTATGAAAGAGGTCCATTGTTCTCAACCAGTGAATGGCCCCAGTCAAGATACAATCCTCAACAAGAGAGAAACTCTGGGCAAGGGTGGTGGTGAGCATACACGGGCTATTGGACAATGGATGGGATGCTGGTTCACTGCAACAAGCTACCAGAGCTTCACCTTGGAAGGCCATACAAGCGATTCTACCTTGTTTCTTGCCTCTTGGTAAGGTATGAACTCAATTCTGGCAACCTAATCAAATTCTGGGATCAAATCTGGTATGGGAACTCCCCTTTGAAGGACTTGCACCCCTCTTTGTATTCTTTATCATGTTTCAAGAATGAGCCAATTTCTACTTTCTTAGTCCCTTCAAACTCAACCAATGGTTTTGATTGAAACCTTGGCTTTAGAAGGGGATTAAGGGATTCAGAAATTGATAGTGTGCTCTCTTTAATCCAAAACCTTGAAGGAATTTTCTTTGGTCCTGATAAGTCTGATGAAAGAATTTGGACACCTTCCTCTTCGGGTCTGTTCTCCTGTAACTCTTTCTTCAAAGTTTTAACCCAACCTCCCCTTAGTCCCCTTCAATCTTTTCCTGTTAAGGAGGGATGGTGCAAGCCTATCCCACCTAGGATTGTGGCTTTTTGTTGGGAAGTTATTCAAGAAAGAATAAATACTTTTGGCTAACTACAAAGGAAGAGGAAAAAGTGGTGCCTTTCCCCACACTGGTGTGTTCTTTGAATGCAGGTGGACACCTCCGGCTGACATCAAAAGTCTTTTTGACCCAACTTCCTGTCCATGGCCGAGGAAGATAGGTAACATAATGTGAAGAGTGCTAGGGTGGCAATAATCTGGGTAGTGTGGGAAGAAAGAAATGCAAGAATTTTTAGAGAAAAGGAAAGAATAAAAGAGACATTGATTGAATCAATTCTGATTAGAGTGGCTCAATGGCTGAAATCCTTAGAAAGCTTCTCACATATATCCATTGATGACATCATTAGGAACTGGAAGGTGGTGGCAAACCCAAATGTCAATAAGCAGCCTGTTATTCCTATCTGGGCCCCTCCTGAAAGAGGATTCATAAAGCTTAACTTTGACGGAAGTAGCATTGGAAATCCAGGAAGGTCAGGAATTGAAGGTGTATTCAGGGATGAGGAAGGTAAAGTGTGCATTATTCTCAGGCCCAACAGGTGAAGGAGACTCACTCAGAGCGGATGTAAGGGCAGTTATGGAAGGGGTGCAAAGGGCTAGAACCATGAATGTTAGAAAGCTAATCATTGAAGGAGATTTCAAACTGGTAGTGGCTTGGCTACTAGACGAGGAAAGTAGGATGTGGAAATACAATAATGAGAAGAAAAAATTCAGATGGATCACAAAGGACATGGAATTGAGAATACAGTGGGTGAAAAGAACAGCTAATTCAATGGCTGATGCACTAGCCAAGCAAGGGGTTGGGAGAATTCAAACATTTTGGGCACAAATGTAATTTTTAATTATAATTAAAGTCTAAGGGGAGAGATAAGAGGGCTTGTCTCTTTCCCACTTTCTCTTGTACACTTTCTTTTAAATTCAATGAAGTAATCAGTTATTCATCAAAAAAGAAAAAAGATACAATCCTCAACAGCCTGAATGCTTCTTTCCTTTTCCTTGAAAATGTTTTAAACGGCATGGGAGGCGTACACCTGGAGGCGCGCCTTCAAGCCTTGAACACCCTTGCATTCCTTTCTTCCCAGATTGTCCATAAGGCGGCTGCTCTAATACATCTCCACATCATTTTTCCTTTTTTTGTAGGCCACACAAAAAAGGAAGGATCGAACAGCTGACTTAAGTCTGTGGACAGATTCCACATGCACCCAAACAAAGAAAAAATCCAACTCCAAATAGCACTAGAAAAGGAAAAAGATACAAGTGGGAGCAATCCTCACCACTAGACCTGCAAAGTACACACCAGTTAGGGGACAAACACATGAAAGGCCTTTTCTTCTACAAGCAAACCAAGGTATTAACCTTTCTATAAAACACCTCCCAGCAAAAAATAACAATTTTAGGTGGAACAGGTCTAGACCAAATCTCCTTGGTTGGAAAACTTCCTGTCTCAGAGAAGAGCAAAGGGACTTAAAAAGGAAGCACAAGAGAAGTAACCTTCTGGATGAGGGGACCATAATCTCACATCCACACTAAGAGGGTCCAGAAAGACACTGCCAAGAAGAGACAACAGATCTGAAACATTGTTAAGTTCATCATCCCTCAAACCTCTCTGAAAACCAAAGTCCCAACTTAAAGACGAGGGAGTAGGAGATGGGAGAAAATGAGAGAGAGCTTTTTCCTTGTAAAGGGAAATAGAATAAAGAGATGGGAATTGGTCCTTAAGGGCAACAGTACCCACCCAAGTGTTCCCAAAATAAAACAGAATTACCAGAATTGACATCATACCTGACAAGGTTGAGAAATTGAGGGAGGGTACTCTGGATTGCTTTCCAAGGAGATGCCAACATTGCTTAACGTGATACACCCGCATCCCATCCATTTTCCAGTCTGTCATGTATACTAGCTATCACTTCATGCCACAACCTCTCCCTTTCTAGGTCACCTCCACAACCATTTTCCTAAGAAAGCTTTATTCTTGAGAGTCAACCTTCCTAGTCCCAGTCCACCTTCCTCTTTACTCCTACAAACTATTTCCCATTTGATTATAAGATCTTTCTTTTCCTCCCCTGGCTCCCAAAGAAATGTTCTCATTAATCTCTCCAACTTCTTAGCCTCCCTATTAGGAATCCTAAAAACAGGTAGAAAATAGACCGATAGGTTTGCTAAGGTGGCTCTCAATAAAGTCACTCTACCCCCTATAGAGATGTAGTTTCTTTTCCAAGAAGCTAATCTTTTCTCAAACTTTTCCAAAACTAAGGTCCAAAAACTACTCTCTTTTGGGTTTGCCCCTAGGGGGAGACCTAGGTACTGCAAGGGCCAAGAAGAAATGGGACAACCTAAACAATCTGCCACAGACTAAAGAATCCCCTCATTCATATTGACACCTACCACACAACTCTTATTCAGGTTTATCTTCAAATTGGAGACCTTCTCAAAGTGTTGTAGCAATGCTCTATTCCTCACTTTTTGCCTTTCACCCCCTTCACAAAATATTAAGATATCGCCAGCAAACTGTAGATGGGTTACTCGGACATTGTTCCTTCCTATTCTCCAACCGTTCACTTCCTCTTCCCTATCTGCCTTAGAGATTAACCTATTTAAAACATCTACAACTAAGGTGAAGAGAAACAGGGAGAGTGGGTCACCTTGTCTAAGGCCTCTACAAGCTGGGAAAAAGTCTTTAACCACCCCATTAACCAAGACTGAGTAATGGCAGGAGCTAATACAGCCCTTTACCTAGTTACACCATCTATCTCCAAAGCCACAACACCCAAGAACCTCTAGTAAAAAAATCCAATCCACAAGATCATAAGCCTTCTCTAAATCTAGCTTACATGCAAAACCTTGAATCCCCGACTTTCTCGTGTCCTCCACACACTCATTTGCTATTAAGATCTGATCTATTATTTGCCTTCCCTGCACAAAAGCACCTTGTGCTTGACTAATGATGGATGGTAGCACTACTCGAATTCTCATAGACAACACTTTAGCTAGGACTTTATAGATGCTTGTCACCAGACTAATCGGCCTATATTCCTTAGGGTCCTTTGCATCTATCTTCTTTGGGATTAGGACTAAGAAGGTAGCATTAATTCCAGGACTTACCTTTTTTTTCTCTGCAAATTCTTGAAACACCCCAACAAGGTCTTCTTTAATCGCATCCCAACACTCCTGATAAAAAGCCATCGCGAAGCCATCTGGACCAGGTGCTTTGGATCTATCCATTGAAAATACCATCTGTCTGATCTCTTCTTCACTAAAATCCCTTTCTAACTAGTTTACTTGTTCTTTAGATATCCTAATCCAATCCAAATCTTCCAATGTTGGCCTATTGTTCACCGGTTTCCTATAGATTGACTTGAAATGATCCACAAACAACCTTGCTATCTCATCTTGATTTGTTACTTCCTCCCCATTCACCTCTAATTTAGCCACGAAATTTTTTCTTCTCCTCCCATTAGCCAACGTATGGAAAAATTTTGTATTCCCATCCCCTTCCTTAATCCATTCGTGTCTTGACTTTTGCCTCCAAGAGATTTCCTCTCTCAGAAGAACCTCTTCCAAATCCTTCTTTAAGTTTCTTCTCAAAACCCTTTCTTGTTCACTCATCATCCTTTGGGCTTCTTTGGAATCTAATTCCTCGATCCTAAATACTAAATTAATTTTTTGCTCATCTATCCTTCCAAAGTGTTCCCTATTCCACTCCTTGATTTTGGATCTCAACCTTTTCAGCTTTTTGTGGAATCCCAATCCCTTTCACTTCACCCCTCTTAAATCTTCTCTCCACCACTCCCCAATCAGGTGCACAAAATCCGGGTGAGTTAACCACATATTCTCAAATCTAAATGGTCGTGGACTAGAGGCTATTGTTTCAGGACTTAACTGGATAGGGCAGTGATCAGAAGTGACTCTGGTTAAGGCTCTAGCCATCAGGTTCCTCCAATTATTCTCCCACTCTTCATTAAATAGGAACCCATCAAATTTTGAACAAAGGGGGTTTTCTTGGAAATTAGACCAAGTAAAATTGGCTTGTAAGAGAGGTAAATCCTTTAGACCACAATTATTAATGAAATCATTAAACTTCCTCATGCTGGTTGTAACTGTTCTTTGGGGGTTGTTAGATTCATTACAAACCTAATTACATTGAAATCCCCCCCAAGACACCAAGGACCCTCCCATAGGCCTCGTATCCCATACAATTCTTGCCACATCTCATTCCTCTCTCTATAAGTGTTTGGCCCATATACATTGGTTAGAACCCAAGTAAATCCATCCCCCACATTCCTGATCTTTAACGACAAAGAGTATCTCCCTATTAGCTCCTCCATTGATTCTACAACATCCTCCCTCCATAATGTTACTAGACCTCCAGAGGCACCCCAAGAAGGAGCTGAGGTCCAACAAACTCCTCTTGATCTCCATATACTTCTAACCCACCTTTTATCCAATTCTGTCAACTTGGTTTCCTGTATCAACACTATGTTCAGTTTCTCTCTTCTTAGTAAGTCTTTAATTGTCCTTCTCTTTCTTTCACTTCCCAGTCCTCACATTCCAGTTGATGATTTTCATTAAACACTTCTTTCAAAAAACCCTTCCCAAAAGACTCCACCTTACAGCAGAGTCTTTCTTATTTCCCCTCTCCCACAAAATTCAATGTCACCCTCAATATCTGAAATCAATCTCTTCACTTCTGATCTCTTTTTCCTTTTATTATTATCCTCGGTCTTCCTAGATGATGCATTAGCTTCAGCCACCTCTCCCCCCAACTCGGAACTTCTATAGCGGTCCTTCTCTTGAGAAATTACTACTCTCTCCCTTTAATCTAATTCCTCCTCCTTCTCTTTGTATTCCTCCAACAATGTGCAGATCCTCTCCCATATTCTCTCCATTTCCTCCTACTGTCTCTCTCTAGGTGCCACTTCTCCCTCTCTCAGTTCACTCTCAGAGTTGTCATTCACTCTTTTTCCCCCCAACTGGAACTTCCGCTCAGGATGCTGAAGTATCTGTTTCAAGCACAGAAGGCACATTAGTAACCAAAACCGAATGGACATTCATACCTGTGTTGTTGGGGACCGATGGGACATCATTCAGGGGAGGGGGATGCGCATAAGGAGATAGGCCTAAATCTGTTCCCTATAATTGAGCTTGCCTTAAAGAGTTTATAGTAGAAATCAATACCCTGTCAACTTTAACAATTGAACTATTCTTCCCTAGCTGCCCTTTTGGTATTACATTACAGGTCAGAGTGTTAGAACTTTTCCCTACCGACCTCATATCCTGTTTTTTCCTGAGCTATTGGACTGACTTCCCTTGCGGGTGTAGGCAGCACCTGAACTGCAACCTCTGTCGAGCGATCCAAAAAATTCACAATGTCTTCCTAAACTCTTTGTGAACCATCTTCTTCCTTGTTCTTTTGAAAGAGCACCTCCGTACCCAAGCTATCATCATCAAAAACGTTCCTCGAACTACTCAGATCAATGCTCCCTAAGCTTACGGTATCGTCTGAAACAAAATCACTGAGATCTTCCTCAGAGCAATCATACTGCTTCCACTTCTCTAAATCACTTCGCCTGACACTCCTCTGATTACGTTTTTCCGATGACATTCTGTTTGATCTTTCTGACGCAACCCAATGTAAAGTGTTTCCAGAATGGGTGAGATTCGCTCTTCATGGTTTTCGTGCTACTGTGCTCAACGAAGAAGATAGATGGTGTTTACCATCTATCGACGTCACCCCTCTGGTCATGTGACCTTTTAAAGATGTTTTGGGTCCCTTCGATGGGCTGGTAATGTTCAGCCCATATCTTGTTTTGACATGTTGTTCCCCCTATCCCACCTTAGATAGGCCCACAAAGGTCGGCCCAGTATTATTTTTGTCCCTTCTTTTACTATTTGGCCTGATTTTTAGAACCTGGGGCCCACTATTTTGAGAAGGCCCAGAAAAGAGTATCCGGCCCAGATTGGGTAGAGATTGGGCCCTATTTATTTTAAAAGGACCCAATGTTTCAGCTCCCCTACTCTCTGCCCCCTTCTCACCTTTTCTCAGTCAAGGTGTGTTTAACGAAGAAGCTTTAACACCATTTATTACTGCTAGTGCATAGGATCTGTCAGGTACCCAGCTACTGCCTTGTTGAGTACGTTTGTGACTCTCTTCCCCCTTCTCACCATCCTTTATTGCCACGCAATTCTTCTTCTTCCTCAACCTTCTCATCTCCCTCCCTATGAGCCTCTTTCCAAAGCACAGCTTCAATGGATGAAGCCAGCCAAACTGAGCAAAACTGTTCATAAACTCACACCTCTATCTTCCAAGGTATCTCCTCAGGTTTTACTCCATTTAGTAAAAAGGAAGCTGAGTAGAGGTCTCGCCAAAAAACACCTCCTAGTGATCCTCCACACATCAGAGCAATGGCTTCAGCAATTTCTCTCTCTAGATTTGCTCCAATTCTGTGTTTACCTGCTCCAGCTGTCACTATAAGAGCCTCTTGCTTATTATTGCTCTCCTGGCTAGTATAACTGTTTATCTTCCTTTTTTCTGTCAAGTTTCCTTCTCTTTTAGCACCCAACCATTGCAGCAGTTCACATAATACCCCATGAACTTCCTTCCAGCCTTGACTTTTCCTTCCCTTTGGGAAACAGACCATCTGCTTCCTACCTTGCCAAAAAATTCTGTCAAAAATATGAAAAAGCCTTTAGAATTTCTCTTACATTCCACTACAAATCTTCTTCCAGTTTCTGAGAGAAACTCTTTCCTGCTATTTTGTTTGCCCTTGTTACTTGCGCCTCCCACAAACTCCTTGAACCCTTCAATCACCCCCAATCCTTCTAACAGCACCATCCCTTTCTTTGCTTCCCTGATTTTCAAGCTCAGCTGACCTTTTAATCTATGTTCCTCGAATGGGAGCTCCTTAGCTTCAATCTTCAAAGTTTTTCTCCAACGACCTATCTCCACAAACTCTCCCATCTCAACTCCTCTAACGTAAATGTGCAGAATGTTATTGTTAATACATAAAGAAATCAAATGGAAACAATGTTACCATAGCAGAGAAGACCCTGAAAACCTGTTAAGTCATGTGGCGTTGGCAAGTCTTTCTGTGCGGTCTTTTGGGCTTTGGCAAGCTCGAAAGACCGAAAATCGATCTTTTCCGTTTGGTAACCAAAAGCTGGAAAGATGAGAAGACACGTGCACGGAAAGACCTGAAAAGACCGAAAATTCCGATTTTTTAGGAAGTTTCAAGTGAAGCTTTCTAGTCTTCCTGCATGGTAGATAGCCTCTAAATACGTTTTTAAAAGCCCGGTAGACCAAGCCGCTTACCAAACGTCTTTAAAGAAAAGACCCCAAAAGCTCAACGTCTTTTGGCCATCTGAGCTGCTAGAAGATCTTCATGATCATCACAATCCACCAAAGCTAGATATTCCTTTGAAATTAAAAGCAACATAATTAACCATTAACCATCAAAAAGGGCAATAAGTACATACAGCTCATACGTATTGTTGTTGCTGTCCATAATTCGAGGATAACTTCCCATAGGAAGAATTTTTATTCGATATCTGGATAAAAAGTTGARGATATCAACTAACAGTCTCATGTTGATGAACATGTTCAAAATTTTGAAGCAAATTCTTTCAAGGAATGAAATGTTTTCACATATCCAAATCAAGAGAGTACAACCCAACATGTTAAGTTGACATTGTTATTTTTCCTAGATAGAATAATGAAGTTCATTTCAAGTAACTCTTCCTCAAACTTAAGTTTGTTAGGACAAGCATTATGCTCAAAAGCTTTGCCAATACATCAAGACAAAGCCTCAAAATTATGATGCTTGATTAGTAAATGAATTGTTTAGAAGATAGGTGCCACACAACTTCTTTAATCATATAGATGACATGGCCTAATTTTCTGAATTCTGTGGAACTAACAATTGAAATTTTAGATTTAAATAAATTAGTTATTCCATACTACCATAAACCTTTTTATGTGTTTTTGTTTATTTGTTTCTTTTCTTTTTCCTTCTTTTTTGAGTCTAGGGGATACCAGTTTAGATAATGCCAATATGTACCAAGGTTTCTAAAATACTTTATCTCACGGCAATAAAAGGGAGCCCAGTGCACGAGGCTCCCGCCAATGCAGGGACTGGGGAGGACAGATGTACGTAGCCTTACCCCTGCACATACAGAGAGGCTGTTTCCAAGAATTGAACCCTGGTCACCCAAGTCGCAATAGAGCAACCCAACCATTGTGCCAAGGCCCACCCTCACTTCATCTCATTGCAATCCAACTGTCAAATTATTTAGTGCATGTTTGAAACAACTTAGCTCATAATAAATAGCTTAATAACAAGGTTCTAACATGAAAGTGTTGAAGAAATTAGATCATCCCTATCTCGTTAGACAAGGATGTGGTTCAACATAAGATTAGGCATAGTATAATAGTTTCTTTAGTCAACTGACAAGGACATCCCTAAGAAGGTATGCCCACAAAGAAATAACTATTGGTTGCAGCAAAACAAACAACATGCATGCAGAGAGGTGTATGTTCATTAAAAGGATACTGGAACTTTGGCCGGAAATACTGAGCCATTGTGTGGAGAAGAAGGCATGCTTGACCCCAAGCAGCATTTATCTCATCCCACTCAACCTACATTTTGAAACAACATGGTCAATAAATATGTCAAAAGACCCATATGGAACATAAAATGATGCTAAACTATACAGAAAAGAACAATACCAGCATCTATCCTGATCCCAACTACATGTGGAAATAAATGGGGAATATTTCAGTAATAATCTTCATTCTTGTGATGCAGCACATATGCAGAAAACTCTACCACTATTGAACCAAGCAAATAGAGATTTATTCTTGTCAAAAACCTGACAAGCTTCCTTCCTTGTTTGTGTGAGTATAGGCAATAAAGATCCATTTACAGATTTGTTTTGGGCTATCTGCAATATTTGGTCCTACCAACCAAAGAAATTGATGGGCTGGATCAAACCATCTTTTCATGACCTCAATTTTAATACAGAATATCTCCTTAGTGGTAATAGAAGTTACTGCCTCCATGCATTTATAAAACACATGTGGCACAGAGAACAGAAAGGGGATCCAATTAAACAGCAACTACACAAGCACTCCTCATATCAATTATGTACATCCCTAGTTTTGATGCAGTATACCGGTATTTTGGGAAGACGGCCAAGACGGAAATTGTTGATTGTTCCAAATTCTCCATCATGCCAGATAGGAAAGGCATCATTAAGCACATTGGTGCGTTTCAACAATTCCAAATGTGCTTGTGAAACTTCAATCTTAGCCAAAATTGCATCTCTCTCTTCCTGTCAAATGAAAGATCTTCAATGTTAAAATTCCTGGCTTCATTGAGGAAAAAAAACTAAGTAAATATCATTTAGAAACAAGCATTCTTGATTTTCAGAAAACAGAAATGGGCCCATAAATCACAATAAATGAGTGTCTTCTAGTTTCTTTTCTGCACTAGGAACCACAAAATGCATTGATTTTATAGAATGCTAATAGAAATCAGGACAATGCCATTTTTAGGAAGAAGTGTTTCAGACACCAAGGCATGGTAGGCACTTCACTTACCTCAGGCGTGAGGCATAAGCCTCAACCCATAGGGCATAAGCCTCACAGCATAGATATTTTTAGTAATACATAGTATGCTGATTTCTATTAGCAAGCCACTTTGTATCAGTGTTGTGGGGGCAGGGGCTGCTTGATGTGATGCCTCTTCCCACACTCTTATAGTACTCTTATTGCTATTAGTAAATACCTTTGCCAAAAATAATTACAGTAAACTTTGTGCAAAAAAAAACAATGCTAAAGGTTAGGACCACATCCAGTCTCCTTTCCCAAGACCCCAGGGTAATGGCCTTTTATTAAATAAACGGTATCGTTATCCTTAATTGTATACCTCCATCACAAATGCTAAAATACCTCCTTGATTTATATATTTTGCTTTTTATTTATTGTAACTTCTATACTTAATTTTATCAGTTTATAATTATTCTTTTTTTTAAAGGTAATGTAAAATTGAATTGCTATAACCAAAAAAAGTATACAAGTATAGCTCATTGTACAAAAGCCTCTGTACATATTAACACTAATAAGATCTCCCAAAAAAAATCAACAGCCAAAAAAGAACGAGACAGAGGAACATCCTTTAAAAGTGGATCAATGCTCAGCCATCCTCTTAGGCTATGTTTGGTTTGAAGGAAAAGTTAGGGAAAGGTAGGGAAACCTATACAAGGTTTGTGCAGGTTKCCCTTTCTTTCCCTTCCTTTCCTTACCTTTTCCTTCAAGTCAAACACAGCCTTAGGTTACCAAAAATTTATTTTTAATTTTTTGAGTTACATCTTTTAATTTAAATATGAATAAATAATTAATGATAGCTTGCAATTCATATCTTTAAAATGAGATTACTGCAATTTTTATAATCCCATAGTCAATTCATAACCAGTAAGATTCTTAGGGGCTAATATGTAATAATAAAAAAAAATCTATCTCTTAAAAATTAAAAACTAAAATTGAGGCTTGATGGTTTCTTTAACAGGCAATGTGCGTCGGTTTTCCTTTTCCTTTTTTCTTTTTCTTTTCTTTCTCTCCTAACCTCCACATTTAACAGGCTTCCTTTTCTTTCTCTCCCCCTCATCTACACTTTGACTTATGAAACGTAAGCTTCAGACATGTTGAGTGCATGAGTGCACCTCTACGCATTTTGAGGCACACCTCTAAGTATCCGGAAAAGCACCAACTTTTATTCTATGTAGAGAGACTGGGCCGAATGGGCCCTAGTGTCTATTTTGTGTTTCAGTAGTAGGATATTTATTTTGTATGCTTATGGGCCTGTTAACTTCTTATAAGTTATTTTAAGTTCATTCTTATCTGGATGCCCCACTTAAGGACTGATTTGTAATTAACCACATTAGTGAAGATTAATAAAAGGATTAGTGAGGGGACAGAGGAGATGATCGAACCCTCTTCTTCTTCTCCATCCCCTTCTTCTATTCTGTTGTTTTCTTCTTCCTTTCTCACTTTTTACTTCTTTAATCAAGTTTCTTATCAGATTTAGAAGTCAGATTTACTTCTTGGTATCAGAGCAGGTTTTCCCTCTTTTTTTTTTCTTTTCTCTTTTCCCATACACCCTTCGATTAGGAGTGTGTATGGAGAGATAAGTTCTTGATGGATCAGAGAATATTTTTTCCTAGTTGGTAGAGGGTTTAGAGAGATAGAATCTGGCTGAAAACTGCCAAGAAGTGGAGCTGTAATTTTCTGCCCAAAACCCTAGCCGACTAGAGCGCTTTCAAGTCACGGGTCAAGGAGAAGATTTGGGTGTGGCGCTCAGGACTTGGGAGGTGTAGTCTGATCTCTAGAAGTGTGTGGCTGAGACTTGTAGGTGGTTTGGAAGCTCTGGTAGGAGCGGCTACCTCTTCTCTCTTCCTCCCCGACAGCTGGGTGCAGTGAAACCCTAGTTTTCGAGTCTCCAAGTACTGTATTGACCTCAGTTAAGTTTATATAGACTAAAAAACTGGTTTTTTTTATTTCCATTTGATCAATGGAGCATTTCGGAAGTGAATCAAAGCAGATGTTGGTATCCGGGGTTGGCCCGGTAACTTCCTTTTTTATTGGAGTGACCACAATCAAGCTAAATGGCACCAATTATCTAGCTTGGGCACAATATATGCAGATTCATGTCTGTAGTAGAGGTAAACTGGGATATCTCACAGGCAGTAAGGTGAAACCCGCAGAGACAGGCCCTACATATGAGAAATGGATGCAGGAGAACTACATTATTATTGGATGGTTGGTTAACTCTATGCAGCCCCATATAAGTCAACATTATCTCTGGATGTCTTCAGCCAAGGAAATTTGGGACAGTGTTATGGAAACATATTCACAGAAGTTGAATGTGGCAAGAGTCTATAAGCTGAAAAGTGATGTGAAAAATCTGAGACAAGGGGAGAAGAGTTTAGCGATTTACTATTCCATGCTGAAATCACTATGGCATGAAATTGATGTTATGGTGACAATTGTTTGGGAGAGTACTAATAATGCAGAGACTTTTAGGAAACTAGTGGAACGAAACAGGGCATTTGAGTTTCTTACAAGACTCAACCCTGAGTTCGACATTTCATTACTAGACAGAATATTCTAGCGAAGGATGAAGTCGCTCTTGCTCAGGCATATGCTATGGTAAGCAGTGAAGAGAGTAGGTGACAGGTGGTTGAGGTTGCTCAATGCCTCCTTTTTGCATCTCATGTTCCTATTAAATTTTGGGGGGATGTTGTCCTTAGTGCAACCTTCTTGATTAACCATATGCCTTCTCGGGTTCTGAGTTTCAAAACCCCATTTAGCCTTCTCTTTCCAAATGGGGATCTCTTTTCTCTTCCTCTCCGAGCCTTTGTGTGCACTTGCTATGTACATGTTCATAATCATTAGAGACACAAATTTGAGCCTAAGGCACATAAGTGTGTCTTTCTAGGATATGCCTCCACACAAAAGGGATATTGTTGTTTTGATCCGACTCGTGGCACCCGCTTTGTCTTTAGGGATGTCACATTTGTTGAGTCCATTCCTTTCTTTGGTATTTCTCCTAAGGGGGAGCATCCTGAGGAGCCATTCGCTATGTCTCCAATTGTTCCTCTTCCAGTTCCTTTCGAGTCATCTTCTTCTGATGCCTCCCCTTCCACTGTGTCTCCACCACATGTTCCTGCTCTCGCTCCTCCAGCTCATCCTCTTACATTTTCTTCACATCCTGTGCTCCAAAGGTGGTACCAATGGCAAAGATCCAGGCATGGGCAAGTTGTTTCCACTCCTTCCACAGAGCTTCTTACACCTCCCATCACTACTGAGGTAGCAGGTCAACCCTCCTCTGACCCACCTACCTTCCTAAACCTTGACCTTCCTATTGCCCTTTGAAAAGGCAAGCGGAAGTATACAACAGCACATTGTATCTCCAAACACCTGTCCTATAGCCTTCTATCCCCTACCAATTACTCTTTTCTTGCCTATATTTCTACCCATGTGATTCCCAGGTCTGTACTAGAAGCCCTGTCCAAACCTGAATGGAGGGATGCTATGATGATTGAACTTGATGCTTTGTATAAGAACCATACATGAGATATTGTGGATTTGCTTGAAGGGAAGGAACCAATGGGTTGTAAATGGGCGTTCACCATTAAGTACCATTCTGATGGCACTATTGAGAGGTTTAAGGCTCGATTGAGTGCTAAAGTCTACACTCAGATGTATGGTTTTGACTACCTTGAAACCTTTGCTCCTGTGGGTTTATAGCCAAGATGACTTCTATTCGATTTTGTTGTCTCTAGTTRCTACTTTTGACTGGCCCCTTCACTAGTTTGATGTTAAAAATGCCTTTTTGAATGGAGACCTCCATGAAGAGGTATATATGTCTTTGCCTCCAAGGGTGTATAGAAAGGAACTGCAAGGGAAGGTGTTTAAACTGCAAAAATCTATTTATGGTCTCAAATAGTCTCCTCGAGCTTAGTTTGAGAGATTCAGAGCTGCTCTTGTATCCTTTGGTTACACACAAACCCAATCTACCCATACTTTGTTTCTGAAAAGAAGTAACTCTTTGGTGACTTTTCTAATTGTTTATGTTGATGACATTGTGGTCACGGGTAATGACACCCAGGAAGTGATTAAGCTCAAAGGTTTCTTAACTATGAATTTGAAATCAAGGATTTGGGGGATCTCAGCTATTTCTTAGGAATTGAAGTTGCTAGACCCAAGGATGGTATCTTCATTTGTCAGTGCAAATATGTTCTTGACCTCCTTGCAGAGACTGGTAAACTTGGTGCTAAACCAACTTCCACCCCTATAGATTCCAATCATAAGCTCTCTGCCACTGATGGTGAACTGTTGCCAGATAAGGGAGTGTTTCAAAGACTACTTAGGAAGTTGTTATATATCTGCATTAATCGGCCAGATATTTCCTATGCAATGAGTGTTATTAGTTAGTTTATGCATTCTCCCAAAGACATATTTAGCTGTTGCAGAAAGAGTTGTGTTATTTGAAAGACACTCCAGGGAAAGGTATTATGTTTGCCAAACATGGACACACAAAGTTGGAAGCACACACTGATGTTGATTGGGTTGGATGTATTGATGATAGGAGATCCAACTCAGGATAGTGTGCTTCAGTGGCAGGGAACATTGTCTCATGGAGTAAGAAACTGACTGTAATAGCCAAATCCTTAGTTGAAGCATAATATAGGGCAATGGCACATGGAGTGTCGGAATTACTATGGATGATATCACTTCTGGAAGAGTTGGGTGTTGACTATGAAAAGCGAAT